ATTTCAGGCACAGAATCTAGCAAGTCTATCAGACTCAGGGGTTGGATACAGGGAACAGAGGTACTCATGTTGATAGATTCAGGGAGCACTCATTCCTTCATTGAAGAGCAAGTGGGAAATAGACTGTCTGGGGTGGAGTTACTTAAACAACCACTTAAGGTGCAGATAGCAGATGGTGGTCAACTTACTTGTACCAGGTTCATACCTGACTGTACTTGGTGGATGCAGGGACACAGCTTCAAGAGTAATTTTACACTAATTCCTTTGGGAAGTTATGATATTATTTTGGGAATGGATTGGTTGGTACAGCATAGTCCAATGCACATTAATTGGTGCCAAAAGTGGATAGAATTTCAGTATAACAACAGTCTGGTCAGATTGCTAGGACTTTCTTCCAAACCAACTCAGTTCATGGAAATATCTGGGGAACAATTGTTGGGAATGGCTAAGAATGGTGCTATTATGTACATGGTTCAGTTGACAAGAGTACCACCAGAGCAGCAACAAGACATTCCTGGATCTGTACAATCCTTGCTCCAGGAACATCAGGATGTATTTGCTGAACCAAAAGGGCTACCTCCTAGAAGAACTTGTGATCACAAGATACCCCTGATTGAAGGTGCTCAGCCAGTTAACTTGAGACCATACAGATACAACCCTGAGCTTAAAAATGAAATAGAGAAACAAGTTGCTGAAATGCTACAGTCAGGAGTGATCCAGCATAGCCAAAGTGCTTGGTCATCACCAGCACTGCTTGTGAGAAAGAAGGATGGCACTTGGAGGATGTGTGTCGACTATAGGCATCTAAACAATCTGACCATCAAAAGTAAATACCCTGTACCAATCATAGAGGAATTACTTGATGAATTGTCTGGCTCCAAGTGGTTTACTAAGTTGGATTTGAGGGCTGGGTATCATCAGATTAGAATGGTACCTGGAGAAGAACACAAAACAGCTTTTCAAACACATTCTGGTCACTTTGAGTACAAGGTGATGTCCTTTGGATTAACGGGAGCTCCAGCCACATTTCAAGGAGCTATGAATCAGACTCTATCTTCTGTTCTTAGAAAATGTGCTTTGGTCTTCTTTGATGACATATTAGTCTATAGCCCAGACCTGCCATCTCATTTATCTCATCTTAAACAAGTGTTGCAATTATTGAGGCAAGATCATTGGCAAGTTAAATTCAGTAAATGCTCATTTGCACAGCAGCAGGTGTCCTATTTAGGACATGTCATTGGAGTTAATGGGGTTGCTACTGAACCAAAGAAAATACAGGATGTGTTGAATTGGGCTACTCCTGTTTCTGTTAAAAAGCTCAGAGGGTTCTTGGGACTGGCAGGGTATTATCGAAAGTTTGTCAAAAATTTTGGAATTATCAGTAAACCCTTAACTCAGCTGTTAAGGAAGGGAGTACCTTTTAAATGGAGTGCAGAGGCAAAAGATGCATTCCAACGTCTTAAACATGCCTTGACATCGGCACCAGTGCTTGGGTTACCTGATTTTTCCAAGATTTTTTATGTGGAGACTGATGCTAGTGAAGCAGGCATAGGAGCAGTGTTGTCACAAGAAGGCCACCCTATTGCGTATCTAAGCAAGGCTTTGGGGCCAAGATCTCGGGGTCTGTCAACATATGAGAAAGAATGCATGGCTATACTGTTGGCAGTGGACCACTGGAGGGCATATTTGCAGCATCAAGAGTTTGTCATCATCACCGATCACCACAGTCTGGTTCACCTAGCTGATCAGCGTCTTCACACTCTTTGGCAACAGAGGGCTTTTACCAAGCTATTGGGGCTGCAATATAAGATTATTTATAGAAAGGGAAGCAGTAATGCTGTGGCAGATGCCTTATCCAGGAAGGATTGCCCTAATGACGCTCAAGTGTTAGCTATCTCTGTGTGTACACCAAAGTGGATGCAGGAAATAACCAAGGGATATGAGCTGGATCCCCATTCGTCTCAGCTACTCATTGAATTGTTAGTGGACTCTGCTGCCAGGGAACATTTCACATTGCAAAGTGGTCTCATTCGTTATAAGGGGCGCATCTGGGTGGGTAATAATGAGGATTTGCAAGCAAAACTGATTTCAGAATTACATAACAACCCTATAGGGGGTCATTCAGGGTTTCCTGTTACATATAGGAGGATTAAAAGGTTATTTGCATGGATGGGTATGAAAAAACAAGTTAAGAAACAGCTGCAGCAATGTCAGGTGTGTATACAGGCTAAGCCAGAAAGGGTTAAATACCCTGGTTTACTCCAACCCCTACCAGTGCCTGCAGGTGCCTGGCAGACAATTTCTATGGACTTTATTGAAGGTCTTCCAAAATCTGAAAGGTACAATTGTATTTTTGTGGTAGTGGACAAGTTTTCCAAATATGCTCACTTTGTTCCTTTGACACATCCCTTCACTGCTGAATCAGTTGCTACCGCTTTCATGAAAAACATTTACAAATTACATGGTATGCCAAAAGTGATTGTTTCAGATAGAGATAAAATTTTTACAAGTCAATTTTGGGAGTACTTATTCACTAAATCTGGTACTGAATTACATATGAGTTCTTCTTATCATCCCCAAACTGATGGGCAAACAGAGAGAGTCAATCAGTGCCTAGAATTGTTTCTGAGATGTTTTGTTCATTCCACACCACATAAGTGGGCAGCCTGGTTGCACTTAGCAGAATTCTGGTACAACAATGCTTTTCACTCAGCTGTTCAGAAAACTCCTTTTGAAGTCATTTATGGTTATCAACCTGCTCATTTTGGAATTTCTATGGAGGATTGTGCTGTTCCAGATCTGCAGGAGTGGCTCAGGGATCGAAAATTTATGCACCAATTGATTCAACAGCATTTGCACAGAGCCCAGCAACAAATGAAGTTTTATGCAGACAAAAACAGAACTTTCAGGGAGTTTCAGCCTGGTGATTGGGTGTACTTGAAACTTCAACCTTATGTTCAGACTTCGGTGGCCCGTAGAGCTAATCACAAGCTATCGTTTAAGTACTATGGTCCATTTGAAGTGCTTCACAAAGTTGGCCAAGTTGCTTATAAGTTGTTGCTGCCCAGTGATTGTTATATCCATCCTGTTGTCCATGTTTCCCAACTGCGAGCTGCCACTGGGTTCAAGCCTCCAGTACAACACAGTTTACCATCCAGTGCTGGAGCTATGCAATTTCCACTTCAAATCTTGGATCACAGAATTGCCAAGAAAGGTAATACAATTGTAACTCAAATATTAACACATTGGTCAGGTTCTTCGGTGGAGGATGCAACCTGGGAGGACAAGGAGGAGCTGAGGAGCCGCTTCCCACACGCACCGGCTTGGGGGCAAGCCGGTTCCCAAGGAAGGGAGGATGTCAGAGCGCACCAAGCATCTCATCATCAAGCTGTTGAGGAGGAGGAGGACCCAGAAGATGATCAAGGAGGCGACAAGGCGAAGGACGAAGTACAGGAGGAAGGTGGGAAGCAAGAAGGCGTTGTCAAGAGAGGCAGGCGTATCCGGATGGAGAATAGAAAATACAAAGGGGCCGAATGGGCCGTGTAACAATCGTTGTAAGGCCCAACTGAGGCTGGTGGCGAAGGAGAGGTTGGAGAGGAAGAAACGCAACTATATACCAGCTGGCACAAGCTTGTAAGAACTCGATGAGGAACTCGGCAAGGTGGCGATGGCGGCGGCGGCTCCGCTCGGTTGAGCGTGAGAAGTAATCTACCTATCTAGTTCGAGTTCCACATTTCTCGTGTTCTTCCTGGAGTGCCAAGTCGCTAGGGTTCCTAACAGCCAGCCACAGAATTCTTCTTCTGTACCCTGACCAAACACGCATTTATCAATTTATCACCAGCGACATGTGCATATCCAAGAGGAGAAATTTTGAGCATCTCTTTGAAGATTTCAAATAAATAATTCACGCAATGTGATTTAATCTGTTGCCAAAGTCGTCATATATATCAAGCTAAGAAGGAACTTAAATTCTCTGGCTATATTAATAAACGGTCGAGAAAATTCTTTACCTAGCTTGCTATATAGATACTTCCCTAGCCATATCTCTCTTCCTAATTTCTAATGCAAGGTACATATAATATATGAAGCTATCAATTTGAACTCAATCACTAGCTAACAAGTGACTAGCTAGGAATGGAATTTTTAAGGAATATATATAAATATGCTCAAGCCGATCTTTAAGTTCATGCTTTCACATATGCTTTTGATCACATGCTGCCGGTGCTAGCTAGTTATATATACTGTCGTCAGACATAAGTCATGATATTGAGATATATATTCATATATATGCAGCTAATTAATAAGTCGATCGCTGCATATCCCTTTCCCATTTTATTGGGGAAAATCCAGAGAAGAGAGAGTTGAATTGACCTCAAATATATAATTTACTTTTGCATGAAGTCTACCTTTGTGAATTCAAACCAATATATATACAATTAACCCGTACATATCAAGTTGAAAACGTACGTAGACACACTAGTACATTAGTACTAGTATAGTATATCTTGAATAATTTTGTCAAACACATACTAGCCAGACAAATAAGATGGCTAATTAATGTTCCCGTTGAACAATGTAATAATTCAAAGAAATATCAATATCTCATTTTCAGTTTGTCAAAGAGAGAACTATTCACACTAGCAATAGTCATTGTATGCAGACCCAGACAAACCTATCAATGAACAGTACATGTCGATCCCAATGGGAAATGCATGAGCTACTTGAACTCATACTTCGCTGTCTCGTGAACAGGGACAGCCCCCAAACTCTTCACAAAACTGGGGTTCCTATACTTATTTTAAAACTTTTTTTTTCTTATCTGTGTTCAGTAAAGTAGCAAGTGAGCATGAATGTTTGACCGGACTTGGTCAGAAAATTCAGCCTTCTCTCTCGATCTCTCTCCTCTCCACACATTCGATTTGGTACGTTTCTGCACGGTAGGCAACAAACAAGTACTTGAATATATATATACTTCTTGGGGGTGTTCTCCTTCTTCTTCTTCATATATCATCATCACCATCTTTATCTCCCTCTCTCTCTCTCCCTCTCTGCATATATATAGCTACTTCGATCTCTTTGTAGCAACCATCAGTTAGCTAGCTAGCTTGAGGTAGCTAGCGCTTGTATTTATCAGAAGCTTAGAGATAATTTTCAGAAGCTTAGAGAGCTATCTTAGCTACAAGGAATTACCGGCCAATCGACGGCGAGATCGATCGATTGATCATGGGAGGGTTTGAGAGGAGAGGAGTTCGGCAGTACAACCGGTCCGAGGTGCCACGGATGCGGTGGACGGAGGAGATGCACCGGCAGTTCGTCGAGGCCGTCGAGTGCCTCGGCGGCCAGGACGGTGAGTTTGAAACACCAACCATGGATATGCATGTTTGGTATTGATCAATTCAAGCTATATGAGCAGATTGATCATGCAATTGCTTAATTATTGCATGGACATGGAGTTCGCTTTGATGATCAAATTAATTGGGATTTTAATTTGCTAGGTATAGATCGAGCTATCATGTTTTTCAAGGGAACTGATTAAACGAAGTGCTTTCTTGTTCTTTTTGTTTTTTGGTTTAGAAAGTTTGGTCTCCTTAATTATTAGTTGGTGTCGGTTAGGCAGGAGTTTGAAAACGAACACAGCGTAGCAGGAGTATAGTTAAAGAAAAATAAAGACACGTGATATTATATGTGCATATGCACGATGAACACCCACGGCCCGTTCTCTTTTGGATTTTCTACGGATAATTAAGACTGAATTAAGCATACAATTTAATAAGAGTTAATTAGTTAGATGGAATATCATTAGCACAATAATTTATCAATTGGAGCCACTTTCATCCTCGACTAGCTAGATATATATCTTTTTCCAAAATTAAATTAATATATGTTCTTCTTGACGATTTTTTATTTTTAGTTTTCATCTGAAAGTAATTTAGATCAAGTACTTTAGATATTTTTACACTCTTTTTCTACCTTTAATCGTGCATATATTTGTACCTTGAGTACTAACAGCCATTTTCGTATGTACTCAGCCTGAAGTACTGATCAGTTATTATCATTTGCAAACTAAAATATTTCAAAAGTTTCAAGTACTATCTCATTTGAACATTACCGTAATTAATTATTGTGTGCTTTATCCAGCACGGTCCGGCCATACGAAGCTGAACGTACTATCGATTTTCTCTATCCTTGAGGGAGACATAATATAATTTTTGGTCTCATGATACATGCATGGACCATGGAATAACAGTACTGCATCATGATGATATTTGTTTGTAGATCATTCTTCAGAAGTGCTGATAATTTATCTCCTCTCGCTTTTGTCTGACAGAAGCAACACCGAAGCGAATTCTTCAGTTGATGGGCGTGAAGGGAGTTAGCATCTCTCATATCAAGAGCCATCTTCAGGTAATTTTGTAGACCCAGGACTTACCTTTTCAGATTTGTATGCTAATAATATACATGCATATGTATATATGCAGCATATGCTCTTTAGATTTGTATGCTAATATTAGCTAGAGATTTGATCCGTGGCTCAACCTCTTTTTTCTCTCTCTTAAATAATGGTCAGATGTACAGATCAGGCTCTAGCAACAGCAATCATCCTGTCAGCCTCCAGAAGTTGACATCAGCTACTGTTAACAACATTAGCAAACGTGAGTTTGTGAATAGTGAAGATCGCTGCATTTACGCGTCAGGGGATAGAAACACTGCATCTTCAGACAAGAATACTTACACCATACTCCGCTGCGGCCGCTCATCAATGTGAGTGTGAGAGAGAGTTAATTAGTCATTTTTCAATTAATGTTAATTCCAAGTACATATGTGTGTTATGAATTTTTCATTTTATTCAATATATTGATTTTTATACCCACTTGCAGGCCATCAATAGAAGAAATATTCAGAAACTGGGAACAAACCAGAGGGCGTCTTCTTCCATGGAACTCCAACGTGATTACAACAGAACAGGTGCCTTTCCCCTCACTGGAAGCTACGCCTCAAATAATATCACTTAATTGCATATATATAATTTGCATTTTCGTTGGACATCTGTCTGAATTTTTAGCATGTATACATCTTGGTGTATATCCTGTATTCCATTCATGTAGAGAGATAGGAAAAAGCTATGGACAAATGCAGACGTATTTTACTTAAAGAATCCATCTTCCATATATGTAGTATTCCCTAGAAGTTTTTGTTTTGGAAACATGCATTAGGTGGCAGGCTGCCAAACTAGCAAACCATACTGCCGTGTATTGACTGTTCATTCCTGCTTCTGCATGCATGGTCGAAACCATGAACTATCTAGACTATCTCTGAAACACTTAATTACAAATTTAAAATCCATATATACATTTTTCAGCAAGCTTATTAACACTGAAACGTAGATTAATTAACATATGTATATATCTTTGCAGGCAACGACTAGAGCAAGTCGTCAGACTACTAACTACAGTAAGCCTCTGAAGCAGCTGACAGACTGCGACCTGACGCTGTCGATCGGGCAGCTGTGGGACGACGCCGCCGGCAGCGACGCCGACGGCTCCAGCACGATCAGCGAGGAGGTCGCCGCGCCGTCGAGGGACGAAGCGTTCGTCTCTTCGGCCGATGACCACTTCGCCGCCGCCGCCGCGAAGAAGGAGAGCAATATGCTGACCACTGATCTGAACCTGGACCTGACCATTTCATCTTCTTGGCTGTCCTGATCATATGATCATTCAGTTGATGGGCCTGTGTATAGCTGCATTATATTTGTGCATATATGTAGTAGTATGTGTACAAAAATAACGCGGAGAGAGAGAGCGTCAGGCTAGTAGTATTTGCAGGTTACCTGATGAGATGATCTTAGAGAGTGTAGTAATATTCTGGAGATTTCTTTAGGATTATTTTCTTATGGTCAGACACAGCATTTTATTAGGTTTTTCAGTAGCGCATGCACGCGTTTATCTGTATAGTTTTCTTTCTATTATTAATTGTTCGTTCGATTAGAGACCGGGGACTTCAGACGAAGACGGGTGAGAAATTTTGACAGTTTTTGCTTCTCTTGGGTAGACTTCTCTGTTGAATTTCTCACCTTTCATCATCTGGGCAGTTCCCCTATTTCTGATCGAATTGTTTGCGCACCACTATCTATACTGATTGAGAACTACTCCCTCAATTCCAAAATATAAGGGATTTTGATCGGATATGACACATCCGATTCGTAGTACTAGGATATTTTACATCCAGCAAAAGTCTCTTATATTTGGGAACGGAGGGAGTAATGGCGTTACTTGCTAGCCATTTTACCCTTGGCTTTCATAGTGTCAATCTGGATTTGTAGCTAGCTGCTCTTCGTCCCAAAATAAATCAACCTCGTACGGAATGTGACACATCCTAGTACGATGAATCTGGACATGTCTCGTACGAAGTTGGTTTATTTTGGTAGAGATAGCTATGTATCTTGGTATTCGCAATTTTTTTTCCTATAGAACATGTCATCAGTTCTCTTCTCCAGAGTACTTCCTCCGTTTCACAATGTAAGTCATTCTAGCATTTTCCACATTTATATTGATGTTAATAAATCTAAACAGATAGATACATATGTCTAGATTCATTAACATCAATATGTATCTATCTGTCTAGATTCATTAACATCAATATGAATGTGGGAAATGCTAGAATGACTTATATTGTGAAACGAAGGGAGTACTATATATTGTTCTGCATGCAGTATACTTCAAACTTCACCATATATCTCAACGGGACATTTAGTGCAAATTATGGATACAGCAATCATCAGTTCAGATCCAAATTTTGAATTCAAAAGCCGGTCATTATCGATGTTTAGGGCAAAATGGTCGGAAACGATATCATTTCTCTATTAATTTTAGATTATGGAATAGTCTCGATCGATACGGTAATTTTTTTCCGTATTTATAAATTTAACTATTTAGTGATGACGACTTCAATATGATGCTGATAAAAATATAAAAAAGAAAATTTTATATATAGTTAGAAATGAAAGTGATCGGAAACAATATTATTTTTACCGTTCGATCGGGAATTTCTATACCATTTTCAGCCCAAACTCCCACTGCGTACATCATATCATAGTACTACTATGTTTGTCATGGGACATATAGAACTAAACACTTTGTCTCTTAATTATATATATCATATTACTTCCTCTATTTTTTTAATATATGACGCTGTTAATATTTTTATATATGTTTGATTATTCGTATTATTTGAAAATTTTATGTAAATTTAAAAACATGTTAGTCTTTTTTAACATGTTGAATGATAAAACAATGCATAAAAAAACTAAAAACAAATGATAATTACATACTTTTGTAATTAAATAACAGAAAGTTGAATAAATGGTTTTAAACAGTTTATAGGAAATGTTTATGAAGGACATTTTTTTAAAATAAATATAGTATTTGGATGCTTGGGAAGTGTACTCGTGATAATGGGTCATCTATTAGCTAAAAAATATGTCCTTAAAAAAAATCTTCGAGGTGGCTTATAATAATAATAAAGGCCTTTTCTACTACGGAATTTGAGAATTTGCCACTCCTAATTTCAATCTTGATTTTGCCCTTTTCGATCAGTTGGGAGATTTGAGGATTTACCACTTCTATTGCAATCTAGAGTTTTCTATCTATATGTGTCTATGTTATATAGCATCAGGACCATGCTTAAGGTGATAAGTTGTGAAGCGAGTGTAGCTCTTAACGCAAGTACAAATCTCAAATTAACTTCGTACGGGTGCTCATATTTATAACTTTTTTTTCAATAATAAATAATAAATCCATCAACAACGAGATGTATATGATGGCTTCATCAATCTGAAGATGTACTGACCCGATACGGAAGATGATTATATAGTACTATGATATAGTACGTGTATATGTTGATAGAAATGAGTATGCACCTAACATGCGGATCTGATCAACGCTTGTGTCTAAAGTGTGTTTGGAAAAAAAAAGAAAGTATTAAATTTTCCATTTTTTCTGTTGTGTCGACAAAATGCTTATGCCTCCCTATTCGCTGGCACCATCCATATGCTTGACAATTGACGCACGTCAGCATACATCAATGGGCAGATGAAACGGACTGTACCAGGGTCAGCCCAGAAAGGCCCCCCAAAGCACTATCAAACGGGCCTGATCGACACTACTGGGCTGGCCCGCTACACGGCCCATTTAGCCACCTCCAGATTCCAGTTCGTTCCCGATCCGTCCACGCAACGCAAATTCCCACAAAAGAAAGCCCAGAAGCAGAAACAAATCGAACGCTCATCTTTTTTCGAAGAAAAAAGAGAAAAAAAGGAAAAAAAACCTCGTCGGCGATCCGCCGTGCGCCTGCCGCCGGCGGGAGGGGAACTCCGCCGGAGATGTCGGTTCTCATAGTGACCAGCGTGGGGGACATCGAGGTGGACCTCCACACCGACATGTGCCCCCTCACCACCAAGAACTTCCTCAAGCTCTGCAAGTAAGCTTTTAGTTTACCCGCACCTAGGGCTTGTTCTATGTGTGAATTTTCGCGGGATCATCTGGCTACTAGAGGTAACGAGGGTCTCGTGGCGGGTGGGTTAGCCTTCAGGAAGCAGTTGAGCGGGCAATTTTGGCGTTGTAGAGCGGGTGCTACTGGGTCTGGATTCGATGTGAAGGGTGCGTGTAGTGTAGTGTGTTGGATTGATTGATTACAGTTGAAGCTGCTGCCATACCAGTGTGTCGTGAATCATTGTGAATGCTCTTGTTCCCATGTTACTTCGAGTTTCGATTGCGTTTAACTTGTTAGTGTAGTGCTGTTAAGTTGATAGCATCTTACAAGTGCTGTTGGTAGCACTTGTCTGTGGCGCTCCTCATATGACAATCTGTATTAACCATCTCTGTACATGTCTCTTGGATATTTTCAACGTTATTCACCCAGTGTTTGCATGATTTTTCTTTTTGTTGCAACATGGCGACATGCTTCATCAGATTTTGCTGTAGGACTTTTTTTTTCTTGCAACGGTTTTGATGCTTCTGCCTGTCATGTATTTGTTGCGGCCGTAGCCCATAGTAGGAAATTGTGGCATTTGTAGTGGAAAATTGTTTCAGCGGAGTGGACAAATAAACTGGAGCAGACAATTGTTTCAGCTAGAACATGCCATTGTTGCGATTGTAGCGAGAAATCGTTTCAGCTGCAACAAGGAAATTGCTTCAATTCTTCTTTTGGAATTGTTGCTACGTGAGTAGAATATCATTGCTAGCTAAGCCACCAATATTTATATCTAATCGTTGATTTGATTTGTGAGGGATGTTGATATTGTGGTAGACATTTTATTTTCTTTATGATTAGTGATAAATGAAAGCAGCTGTGGTACAATTTAGAAGAGCCAGAAGTTGACTTCCGAAGCAAAAGATTACGGCCTCCGTGGAGTCCATGAATTGGTTGATTTAATGGTTGCTTATATAGTAGCGAGGATCACTTATTTCAGAAACGTCTGACAATAGCTCTCGGATTGAACATCCGAGCACTAGTTGTTATCATTAGTATTTGGTTCTAGGGATGAGGTGGGATGAAACAGGATGGTTCTACATTTTTGGGATGAGGTGGAATAGAATTGTTTCGTTTAGTTGTTTGGTTGAGAATGGGATGATTCAATATTTTGTTTGGTTTAAGCGAGATGGGATGGAATGGTCCAATCCAGAGTTTGGTTTGGAGAATAGAATTAGATTTTCTTTTTAGAAAATGGGATAAACCCGGCCTCTACATCCAACTGGATTTACGCAGCCAAGAATAAGATAGGATTGACTCAGGTAACCTGCACCTTAGACTGGTGAGAATAAACCTTTTTTTTTAAATTTCCCTTATTTCCTTTTCCCCTTCTTAATTTTTCTCTCTCCCTTATCATCTGTAGGAATGAGCTTTCCTGGCTACAGCTTCTTCCTTGTCTTCCTCTCTCTTCATTATTTTGTTCACATCCAAAACTATTTGTTCTCCAGATTCCTGAGTGGTGCTATGGCTAGTGAGTGGAGGAAGCGGAGTGGATGACGCCACTTTGCTGCACAAGCCGGCGACTCTCATGAGCGCGTCAAGGCAGTGATCCACTAGCGGCATCAATGGTCGAGTGCAAGAAACCTTTTAACCTCATGGAGGTGGTAGCCCACTGCTTCTCAGCTTGAGGAGAGTGGTGGCTGCTCGCAGTCTCGCAGATGGGCGGTGAACAAATCCAGCGAGAAGCTCTCCCCCGCACTGCTGAACATTCTTGCATGAGTTCATCTGGGCAAAAGAGTGGTATCATCTCATCCTGAATCTTGTTGGAATATTCGTCAAAATGAAACTACCTCGTCCTGAAATGTTTCGTCCCATCCCAAGAACAGAACACATGGGCTCATCCCAGGACCATAACCATTCGTTCTATCCCACTTGATCTCAGGAACCAAACACATAGAGGATTGTTCTTTGATTCTTAGTGTCGTTGTCTGAACTAAAATTATGTAAATATGTTTGTCTACTTATCTTGCAAAAGTTAAATACTGCAAAATAGCAGGCTATGAAATATGACTGAGTTGACTACTTATGGCAATTGGAGTAATCATTCTCTCGCTGTTCCTATGATTTTACTTACCAGGATGAAGTATTATAACGGGTGCCTGTTCCACAAGATAGAGAAGGATTTCTTGGCACAAACTGGGGACTCAACTGGAACAGGAGCTGGAGGCGACTCTGTATACAAGTAATCAATTAATATAGCGCAATAGGAGCCTCTCCTTCTGTTTCCTGTAAAAAAATAATCAATTGCTCAGATGTCTCACTGCCACCGATTGTCAAATACATGCCTGAAAACGGATTCATTTTTTTTCCTGTAGATTCCTTTATGGTGACCAAGCACGATTTTTTGATGATGAGATCCATCCGGAGCTTAGGCATTCTAAAATGGGAACTATTGCTATGGCAAGTGCTGGTGAAAATTGCAACGCCTCGCAGGTGTGATACTTAGTCCCTAAACTTCCTACCGAACCCAAATGTTTTGATTACCAGTAATTAGTCCATTTTGATGTCCTCACTGCTGTTTTTAGCCTTTCGTTTATGTTTGTGTGACTTATTAGTTCTACATCACCTTGCGGGATGGCGTGGACTACCTCGATGATAAACACACTGTGAGTAGCACCTTACTATTATTACATTGACTTAGAGATTTTTTTTCTTGAAAAACCCTACTTTATCTGCAGTGACTCACAAGTATATCTTCATCAATTGTAGGTGTTTGGCATGGTTGCTGAAGGCTTTGACACGATTACAAAGATTAATGAAACATATGTTGATGATAAAGGGAGACCATTTAAGGATATCAGGTAAAATACCTTTGAAAAGTACTAAACTGCATAGTTAGAACATGCTTGCCAATATTTACTTACTTTCTGGTCTTTCTGTTGTTTCTGCTTTATTTCCATTGCTGACCTTCTGCAAAATACTTAATGAACAGGATTAGACATACATATGTCTTGGATGACCCTTTTGATGATCCTCCTCAGCTCAGTAAACTTATTCCTGAGAATTCTCCTGTAGGGAAACCACAGGATGAGGTAATATGAGTTCTGCTATTGTGCTCATGTTGGAAAGACAATAATCAAAATTGACTAATCAGAATCACAGGCTGTCTTACATTTGTTTAATTCGTTTTACCTTCCACATTGTTGAAAACTTTATAACAATTTATTTGGGCACATACCTGTTTAAGAGTATGTATGGATTTTAGTTGAGGCAGCCACTGGGTGTACATGTAATTTATTTTCCCTGTTCTGTCTGTACCAAATTATGCTAAAAGTTCCTATGCAATGTCCTGCTAATGTACTATGTTATATATTTTCTTTTCACCGTCAATGTACAGATTGCAGAAGAGCGCTTAGAGGATAACTGGGTCCCTCCAGATGAAACAGTGGCTCCTGAAGAACTCGAGGATACTATCCGCTCCAAAGAAGCACATACAAATGCTGTTATTCTTCAGAGCGTAAGTCCTGGTGCCAAATTAAAATCCAAAACTACGCTTATTAATTATTAATCATGTTATAACTTGTGACTCATAAAACTTGTCTTATTCAGTTAGGAGATATTCCAGACGCTGAGATCAAACCACAAGACAATGTTTTATTTGTTCGTGAACTCAACAAAGTAACACAAGTTAGTATCGGCTCTTAATTGATTAACTCTGTTCGCCAGTTCCACTAATTTTTTTGCTTATCCATCCTGCTTTGGTAGTAGCACTACGTACAGATTCTTATGTATAGACATTTCATTCATTTAATGCTCCTGTGATTATATCACAGATTATTTTGGACATCATAAATATCGGATTGATATCCCATAGCTTATGAAATATTTTTTGGTAAGAGAAGCTAAAGGGCTAATATTCATTGTTTTGTAGGATGAAGATTTATATACAATTTTTTCTCATTTTGGCTCTGTGACGTCGTAAGTGCCTTTTCCTAAGCTCAAATAATTTGCTTATCTTCCTGTTGCTTCTCTTGTTAATTTTTTTAATTGTTCCTTGCAGAGCTGAAATAATTCGTGACTATAAGACTGGTGATAGCTTATGCTTTGCTTTTATTGGTAAGTTTCATTCCTCAAAAGCTGGGGTGCATTGACATACTTCGATCAAGCATTGGATTTAGACAGAGTCCTGCTATTTTTCTGGAGTACCCTGAGCCCAGTTTGTTCATCGAATACTTGCCTGAGCTATATCACTAGATTTCGTAGGCATTCATCATCCAGTTATTCAGTTGTGTTGTACATCAGCCTCTTAGAGCTGTTATCCTAACAGGGCTCCAACTGAATTACCTATGCAATAACTGTTGGTGTTTATTGAAAGGCATATACTTTAGTTGCAGCATGTAAACACACCTTTTATTTTGTTACTATATACCCGTGCATTGCAAATGGTCCCATACTACTGAAAATGGGCTAGGGGCTAATATATGGATCTAACATAAAGTGAGAATATATTTTTATCCAACAACTATTCCCTTTTTTTCCCGTCTTTCTTAGCGATTTCTTTTTGTGTGTAACAATTTTTCTCTAGTGATTTTTTTTATGGTTCCAAAAAAAGAAGGTTTCTGCTACTGTTGCTAGATTTTCTAAAATAGTTTTTTTTTGTGCGGAACCTTTTTCTCCAGCAATTTTTTTTCCATGAGCGAGGGGGAGGGGGTGGGAAGGAGGACAACTGTGCTTTTATAGTAGTAGAGATAGCTAGTAATATACCCATGCATTGGAACGGGTCCGTACTACTGAAAATGGGCTAGGGACTATTAATATGGATTTAACATAAAGTGAGAATTTTTTTTATCTAACAACTTTTCCTTTATTTTTTCTTTATTTCTTAGCGATTTATTTTCTTTTTGTGCAGAACAATTTTGCTCTAGCGATTTTTTTTCTGGTTCAAAAAATTAAACGATTTCTACTACTGTTGCTAGATTTCCTAATTTTTTTTGTGTGGAACCTTTTTTTCTAGCGATTTTTTTCCATGAGCAAGGGGGAGGGGGTGGGAAGGAGGATGAGTGTGCTTTTATAGTAGTAGAGATAAACTCGCAAATGGATAAAATACATGAATTGTCAAAGAAGATTAATGGTGTTTTCTCCTAAAAAACAAACCTAATGATTTAAGAAAACAAACTGAGTGACTCCATTGTACACTTCTGAGGTATTAAACCATAGAAGTTAACTGATAGCTCAACTGTTCTCAGGGTTACAATGTCAGTGCAACATATTTGGTGCAGACTCAAGTAGCCAGTAGATGGCCTAAGAAAGAATCTCTCTTGTTCCACCTGGATTAATTGGCAAGATCAGAATGTTGTTACAAAATACTAAAAATTATCTTGGTCTTTTGTAGAATTTGAGAAAAAGGAGGCATGTGAGCGCGCATTCTTCATGGTTAGTTGCCTAAATTCCTGTTTCCAGTGGCAGATAAAATTTCTTCTCTTATATAATTATACTCTATAATTCCTTCTGCCACCTACTCCCTCCGTTTTATATTATAAGACTTTCTAGCATTACCCACATTCATATATAGATTCATTAACATCTATATGAATATGGGTAATGCTAGAAAGTCTTATAATATGAAACGGAGGAAGTAGCATTCTAGCATATTTTTTATATATTTATTTATGCTTGACTAGTGAATGTTACCTAGTTTCTGCATTGACAATTCAGCAGTCTATGTTTTTGTAACTATATTAGAGTGTTTTCATGGGAGCATTTGCTTACTCAATGATATGCTTATAGATGGACAATTGTTTGATTGATGATCGAAGAATACGTGTTGACTTCAGCCAAAGTGTTTCAAAACAGTGGCGTCAGTTCAGACAAAGCAAAAGTAATGCAAATAAAGGTAAGATAAGTCATGTATTCTTATTTCCATGGCTTATCGTTGCAATTCCAGCTTCTTTTTTATTTAAGCTAACTGCAAAATCAGTAGGGGAGGTGCTCTACTGTTGGTTTTTTCCTTTAAGGAAAAGAACTAAACAAATCTATTCCTCATCAATATTCTTTTCATCTAGACTTACTTTGGTGGCACTCAAATATGCATATTCTCATTTCAAACCATAGTTGTAGCATTCTGTGTTCATTAGAAATTCTTGAATCCTATAAGGAATTTTACCATTTTGTACCATGGTGAAGATGTCGAGTCAGTAGCTAGTACCTTTAAATATTTTCAAGTGAAAAGATGGCAACAATGTTCCCAATAAGTTGGGGGCAAAGAAGAAAGAACACGTCGATCTGAGTAAGACTTCAACATGTATTTTGTCCTTAGCATTTCTTACTTAAATCTCTTGCTTGAACATGCATTTGTTCTTTGGAGTTCATCTGTAAATAGGAGAAGTGTGATATGAATACCTCGTCTTAGTATATCAGTGAGTGTGAAGATCCCCAAACAGAATCTAATTGTTACATGAGTCTTTATTTTTTCAGTTTTTGGCAAAACTCTGAAGCACTTGCTGCATACAGTTCGTATTTTCATCATTTGCTAGGCATTCTGATACTCGGATTGTTGGTTTCTTTGTATATGTAATATATGCGATCCATGTAGATAGCCCTGCACTGAACTTAACCATAAATTCTTCCAGAATCAACGGGACCGTGTTTTGTTCTTTACAACACGAGCTGGGCAACGGACTTGAATGATAATTAGATGCTTTAAGAACATTCCTCTACTAGAGTAACTTGTATAACTGGTGACTGGTGAGAGTTCTCGTAACATCTCTGCCAGACAATATTAAGCCATGAAATTTCTATTTCTCTGTAGAAAAAGTTGTTTTCAGGAATACGCGAGACGCACATTTTTATATTAAGAAGGAATAAATGAAATTACAGGGGGGCCAAACAATTTAAAAAAGAAGGGGACAGGGTACAGGTGTGGGGGGGAAACAGAAATCCTAATCTCCTAAGGAGTTTGGCGACCCGTGAACAAATGAAGGAACTACCATGGCCGGTATGGCTGCCCTAGCCATCCGCCAAACTGTAGAAAAAGTTGTGATTTATGAAATGATTTTTGACAAGCAACATCTCAGTCTAGGTTAACCACATCGAACCCATTGATCTCTAGGTACTAGGAATTACCTCAGTATGTTCATTGCCGAGTTTAACATTCTCAACTAGGACCCTGAATTCTGGTATTAAGTCGAGTTAGTTGTGAGACCTTATGCTTATTTTATCATGTGGGAGTTTTTAATTCCTGCATAGTTGATTGCTTCTAATGTATTTTTTTGAATTGCTGTGCAACAAAATGTCCTTTTAATCTCTTCCACAAACATACTTTAAAGTGAAAAATACATGATGCATTTCTTTCTCTTTGCAGATGGGTGCTTCAAGTGTGGCGCACTTGATCTCATAGCCAGAGACTGTGACCAGAGGGCTGAGCAGAAAAACAAAGGGCCAAATTATATCCTGAAAGACGAAAACACTCAGCGCAGTGGGAACAAGCGTCGAAGGTGATTTTCCCATCCGCCATCACTCATATTTTCTGATTGTTTCGCCTTTTGATAATATGTTATTATTATTTTGTAGCTACGATCTTGTCTTTGAAGATGGTGAAAACTATAATGGTCAGCAAGATCTCCGAAGCGCTGACCGAAGAAAGATCCATAAGATAGATGATCGAAGATCAGGGTTGCCACCTCGGGGTGACCGTGATAGGATTAGCCGGGAGAGAACGCACATTGATGAGAATGATAAAGAAGGTAATAGGGACCGAGGGAATCAGAAGCATGAGGACTACAACCGTTACTGTAAACCTGGTGAACGAAGCTCCAGTAGACATGATGATCGTGGCTACAGCAAGCACGAGAGCAGAAGCAAATATAGGGATGGCGATGACGATTACAGACGACAATCAGGAGGCAGTCGATATGGCAGGGATAAGTGCGATGGTGAACGACGCTACAGAGGAGATGATGACCATGGAAGGAGCAACCGCCACACGAGATGAAAGTGATAACAGGAAAAGAAGCCCAGACACTGGTAGTAGGCATAGAAGATAAGATAGGGAGCACCGTGAGTGAGACGAGCAAACACAGGGAAAGAAGTCAGAGTGATGATAGTATATTGCTAAGGTAGCTCACGTATATTTTGTATAGTTCTTTTTCTGTTACTTTACATACGAGGATTTCAGACGAAGACGGGTGAGAGAGATTTTGACAGTTTTTTGCTCTCGTGTGTAAACTTCTCAGCTGAATCTCACATTTCATCATCTGGAGTCTGATTACACCTTTCATCTCTGATCGAATTGTCTGCGAACTAATTGCGAATGGCGTGCATGCATGCATGAGCTGTAATTTGCTAGCCATTTTACTTTGGTTATCAGAGAGATCTGAATTACTTGCTAGCTACCTATTATAGAACATACTTCACATCCGTTACAACATATAAGCATTCACCTAGCCAGAAATGCTTATATTTTGATATTTTGAAATAGATGGAGTATCAGTTCCTAGTACTGCTGATTTGCAAAATGTCCAAAATTATTAGTTACGTGTACTTCATATTCATACATGCGAGTATAGGTTGAAGAAATGCTGCTGCCAGCGCTATGCTCGACGATTGATAGTTTTTTTATTTCCTCTATGACCTATGATAATAATTACCATAAAATTTACACCAAGTTGTTAAGATGAAAATTACGATCTTTACTACAACAGCATTTCGTGGATTGGATTTCACATATCATCAACGCACCACGGATGAAGCCATGTAGATATGTAGGTCCTGTTTAGAGAAGCTTCTAACAAATGCGGTCTCTCTTGGAATCTATTCTCACCCAGATTCTGATAATGTAGTTATAGAATGAAAAATAAAAGAAAATAAGTCAAGAGCGCAACCAACTGTTTCTTAGAATGTTAACTCTCAGAAACATAGCCGTAATATGCGGTTGTGGGCCTGGACAGTTTGGAAGAGCTTCTGATTCTGGGAGAAGATACAACTGGTAGAAGCTTCCCAAAACTATCTAGCTTTTCATCGAATTATGAGAAGCTATAGTTATAGAATCTATAAAATGAGTCTTAGGGCCTGTTTGGGGGAGCTTCTAACTGCTACAGCTTCTTCTAGAATCAGAAGCTCCCCCAAACAGTCCAGCTTTTGGTCCAGATTCTAAGAAGCTGTAGTTATAGAATCCAGAAAATGAACTAGAAATTAGAAGCTGGAAAACCCAGCCTTTCTAAATTTTCAAAAGCTGGTTACCAACCAGCTGCTTCTCAGAATTTTAAGCTCCCTCAAACAGACTATAAGCTACCCAAAAGACCCTGTGCAACAGTGCAGGGTTGGACGAAAAGCATAGCATGACCAAATTGGGCCATATACGCGGGCAAGGCCCAGATATTTCTTGGTCATGGTTTTCTGGCCCAGGCCGAGAATTCAGGGTCGGCCCTTACATCTCCGTAGCACGCAGCCTAGTGCGGTAGACGGTTTAAGCGCTCAGAAATCACCAATTTTTTGTCATAAAAAACAAAAAAGAAAAAAAATAGAAACACCTCGTCGGCGTTTAGAAAGGCGGTTGGGGTTCGGCGGCGGCGGCGGAGGCCGGTGAGTATCCGCGGCCGCGCGAACCAGTCGCCTGAGCTCCCAGAAGCATCCGGCGCTGCGGCTCCTCCGTGATTTGTGTATTTTTCCCCTTGAATCCCGCGCCGTCGCGGCCGCCGTGTGCTCTTGCCGCCGGCGAGAAGGGGGGAAAACGCCCGCGGAGATGTCGGTCCTCATCGTGACCAGCGTGGGGGACATCGAGGTGGACCTCCACACCGACATGTGCCCCCTCACCACCAAGAACTTCCTCAAGCTCTGCAAGTAAGCTTTCAGTTTACCCGCATCTAGGGCTTGTTCTATCTGTAAGTGCGCGGGATCATCTGGCTAGTACCAGGGGTAACGCTGTCTCGCGGTTGAGGGGTTAGCCCTCACGAAGCAGTTTAGCGGCCAATTTTGGCGTTGCAGAGGGTGCTACTTGGTGTGGATTTGGTGTTGTATTCTAGAACCGCGAAGGGTGTATGAACTATGGAGTCTGCTGGGTTAAGATTAATTATAATTTAAGCTGCTGCTGATGTGTCGTGAATCATTGTGAATGAATTTACCTTCTTAGTGTAGTCATTAAAATGTAGGATGGAAAGATTGGGTCAATTAGGGGATCGCTCTTTGATTATTAGGGTTGTTATCTGAATTGAAAAAAAAAGTATGCTTACTGATATTGCAAAATAATGCACAATAGCAGTATTATGAATATGAAATAGTAATTTTATGGTTATGAAATATAGCTGAGTTGACTATTTATAGCAATGGGAGTAATCATCCTCATTCCTCCTATGATTTGACTTACCAGGATGAAGTATTACAATGGGTGCCTGTTCCACAAGGTGGAGAAGGATTTCTTGGCACAAACTGGGGACCCAACTGGAACAGGAGCTGGAGGCGATTCTGTATACAAGTAAACAATTGCTCAGATGTTTTACTGCCACTGATTGTTGAATACATGCCTGAAAAGGGATTCATTTGTTTTTCTGTAGGTTCCTTTATGGTGATCAAGCTCGATTTTTTGATGATGAGATCCGACCAGACCTTAGGCATTCAAAAAAGGGAACTATTGCTATGGCGAGTGCTGGTGAAAATTGCAATGCCTCGCAGGTGTGATACCATATTCCTAGCCTTCCTACCGAACTTAGCTCAGCTGTTTTGATAACCAGTACTTGATAATCCATTTTGAGGTCCTTAACTCCTTGCTGCTAACCTGCTATTTCTAACCTTTGATTTATGTTTCTGTGACTTTATTAGTTCTATATCACCTTGCGGGATGACGTAGACTACCTTGATGATAAACACACAGTGAGTAGTACCTTATTATATTGACTCACAGAATATTTTCTTTGGAAAAATCCACTTTATCTACAGTGATTCATATGTATGTCCTTATCAATTATAGGTGTTCGGCATGGTTGCTGAAGGCTTTGACACGCTGACAAAGATTAGTGAAACATATGTTGATGATAAAGGGAGACCATTTAAGGACATCAGGTAAAATACCTTTTTTAAAAAGTCTAAACTGAATAATTAGAACATGCTTGCTAATATTTACTTACTTTCTGGTGTTACTTTCTGTTGTTTCTGCTTTATTTCCAACTGCTGACCTTCTGCAAAATGTTCAATGGACAGGATTAAACATACGTATGTCTTGGATGATCCTTTTGACGATCCTCCTCAGCTCAGTGAACTTATTCCTGAGAATTCTCCTGTAGGGAAACCACAGGATGAGGTAATATGAGTTCTGCTATTTTGCTCATGTTGGAAAGATGATAAACCAAAATTGTCTCACCAAAATCACAGGCTGTCTTTTGTTTAATTCGTTTTACCTCCACATTCTTGAAAACTATTTATTTGTGCACATACCTTTTTAAAAGAATATGGTATGAATTTCAGTTGAGGCAGCCACTGGGTGTAGGTGTATTTTTTTTCCTTGTTCTGTCTGTACAAATTATCCCGATCCCTAAAATATCTAGACAGGCATGTTTCAGATTAGTCCTAGAAGGGTGTGGTTTTGCCGTGATTCTCCTGAATGCTATGTGTTGTCCTTTTAACATGGTCATGATATTTTCTTTTCACTGTCAATGTACAGATTGCAGAAGAGCGCTTAGAGGATAGCTGGGTCCCTATGGATGAAATGGTGGCTCCTGAAGAACTTGAGGAGATGATCCGCTCCAAAGAAGCACATACAAATGCTGTGATTCTTGAGAGCGTGAGTCCTGATGCCAAATAAAAAATTAACAGTTCGCTCATTATTATTCATCGTGTTATAACTGATAAAAATACCTTTGTCTTATTCAGGTGGGAGATATTCCAGATGCTGAGATCAAACCACCAGACAACGTTTTATTTGTTTGTAAACTCAACCCAGTAACACAAGTTCGTATCGGTTCTTAATTGATTGGCTTTGTTCTCTACTTCCACTACCTTTTTATGTATAGATTCACAGATCAGTTTGGAAGTCATATAGGTATTGAATTTATAGCAATATAGCTTGAAATATTGTTTGGTAACTAAACGGCTAGTGTTCATTGTTTTGTAGGATGAAGATTTATATACAATTTTTTCTCGTTTTGGAACTGTGACATCGTAAGCGCATTTTCCTAAGTTCAATTAATGTGCATATCTTCCTGTTTCTTATTTTGTTAACTTTTTTTATTATTCCTTGCAGAGCTGAAATAATCCGTGATTACAAGACTGGTGATAGCTTATGCTATGCTTTTATTGGTGAGTTTCATTCCTCAAAAGCTGGTGTACATTGACATACTGTGATCAAGCATCGGATTGTTGTTAGCTAGAGTTATGCTAGTCCGTTCATCGAACGCTTGAGCTTCATTGATAGCTTTCCCAGGCATTCATCCTCCAATTCTTTAGGCGTGTTGAACATCATGTTTTACCCTCTTAGATCTGTTATCCTAGTAAGGAACAACTGAGTGACCTAATTTGCAACAAGGTTCTGGTGTTTTGTGTAAGGCTGAGTTCCAAATGTTAGTGGCTATGGATATACTTTAGTTGCAGCATGTAAAGCACACCTTTTAGTTTGTTAATACTTAATAAACCAGCAAATGGGTTAAATGCATGACGTGGCAAAAAGACTAATGGTGTTTACTTGTATCTCCTCAAAAATAAACATTAACGATTTAAGAAAACAAACTGAGTAGCTCCATTGCACACTTCTGAGGTATTAAACAATATAAGTTTCTTGATAGCTCAATTTTTCTCTCAGGGTTACGGTGTCAGTGTGATATTTGGCACAGACTGCAGTAGACAGTAGATGGCCTAGAAAGAATTTATTGTTCCACCTTGATAAATTGGCAAGATCTGAATGCTATTATAAAATGCTAAATTTTATCTTGCTCTTTTGTAGAATTTGAGACAAAGGAGGCTTGTGAGCGGGCATTCTTCAAGGTTAGTTGCCTAAAATCCTGTTTCATGTGGCAGATAAAACTTGGTTCTTGTAATTGTACTTTATTTCCCTTCATTACTTAGCATTTCTTTGCTAGCATATTTTTATAAGTCATTTTTGCTTGACTAGTGAATGTTACTTGATTGTTTGTGCCTTGACAATTCAGTATTGTCTATATTTGTAATTATTTTACCAGTGTTTTCATGGGAGCATTGCTTACTCAATGATATGCTTGCAGATGGACAATTGTTTGATTGATGATCGAAGAATACATGTTGACTTTAGTCAAAGTGTTTCAAAACTGTGGGGTCAGTTCAGACAAAGCAAAAGAAATGCAAATAAAGGTATTCTTATTTCCATGGCCTTAGAATATGATTGCAGTTTTCAGTTTCTTTTTTATTTAAGCTAACTGCATGGTAGCTTTCTTTTTTCTTAAGGAAAAGCAGTAGGGGAGATCCTCTACTGTTACCCTTTCCTACAAGGAAAAGAACTATATAAATCTATCCTTCATCAAAATTCTTTTCATCTAGACTTTGGTGGCACTCAATTTCCTTTCAGACCATAATTATAGCATCCTCCTGTATCCTATAGAAATTTATTTATTCCTATAAGGAATTTAGTGTTTTGTACCATGCGGAAGATGTCTAGAGAAGTGTACTGATTATTATTCAGCACAGTTAAACCGTGTCAAGTGTAAAGATGGCAACAATGTTCCCAATAAGCCACAGGACAAAGAAGAAAGTAAACATCAATCTGAGCAAGACTTCCAACATGTTTTGCTTTCTCCTTAGCATCTCTTTAGTATCGCATCTCTGTCTTTAACATGCATTTGTTCTCTGGAGTTCATCTGTAAATGGCAGAAGTGTGATCTGAATACTGTGTCTTAGTATATTAGAAGTCTGCAGAGCCCCTAACAGAATATATTATTACTAGTCTTTATATTACCAGTTTTTGGCTAAACCACTTGCCGCGGATGGTTCAGATTGTGGCAAATAGCAAACTGGCCTAGCGTCATCATTTGCTAGGCATTCTGAAACTCAGATTGTTGGTTTCTTTGTATATGTAATATACGATCAATTTCAAATAGCCCTGTACTCAACTTAGCCATTAATTCTTCCAGTACCAAACTAACAGACCATGTTTTATTTCTTACAATATGAGCTGAGCAATGGACCTGAATATTCATATCTGCTTAAGATCATTTCTCTACTAGAGTAACTTGCACAATTGGTGAGCCATGGAACTGAATTCTCATAAGAGACCTTTGCCATAGAATATTAAATCATGAAATTCCTATTTTTCTGTAGAAAAGGTTGATTTATGAAATAATTTTGATACGAAACATCTCATCTTATATTTCTAGGTTGACCACATCCAAGCCCATTAATCTATAGGTACTAGGAAGTAGGAAGGTGTACGCAGATGCCCACTTCATTGCGGAATTTAACATTCTCAACTAGGACTCTTGAACTCTAGTTAGTTGTGAGACCATACTTTTTTACTATTTTGGAGTTAGAATTAATTCACATGAAAGCTATATGATGCAATTCTCTTTGCAGATGGATGCTTCAAGTGTGGCGCCCCTGATCACATAGCCAAAGACTGTGACCAGGGCACTGAGCAGAAAAACAAAGGCCCAAGTTATGTCCTGAAAGATGAAAACACTCAGCGTGGTGGAAATAACCGTCGAAGGTCATTTTCTTTTCCCTATCTATCATATTTCCTGATCGTCTCATTTTCTGATAATCTTCTGTTGTTTTGCAGCTATGATCTTGTCTTTGATGAAGATGGTGAAAATTATACTGATCAGCAAGATCCTGGAAGTACTGGCCGAAGAAAGATTCAAAGAACAGATGATCGCAAATCAGGGCTGCCACCTCGGGGTGACCATGACAGGATTAGCCGGGAGAGAACTCACAGTGATGAGAATGGTAGAGAAGGTGGTAAAGAAGGTGATAGGGACCGAGGGATTCGTAAGCACGAGGACTACCACCGTTACAATAAATCTGGTGAACGGAGCTCTAGTAGATACGATGATCGTGGCTACAGCAAGCACGAGAGCAGGGGCAAATATAGGGATGGCAATGATGATTACAGACGACAACCGGGAGGTGGCAGTCGATATGGCAGGGATAAGTATGAAGGTGAACGGCGCTACAGAGAAGATGATGGCCATGGAAGGAGTGACCGTCACAAGAGAGATGAAAGTGATAACAGGAAAAGAAGCCCAGATACTGGTAAGCATAGAAGAGAAGACGGTGGTCACCGTGAGACAAGCAAGCACAGGGAAAGGAGGCAGAGAGATGATAGATAGGTCACTGCATCACCGTCAGTTTTGTCTTGCCTGTTTCTCATCATACATTGAATTTTGTCATTCTTAATCCAAAGATAGCACCAGAACACTAAACATGTAGCTTAGAATCTGCGTGTAGACATTATGAGAGCTCCACTGGCTACAGATTGTTGTAACTTGTAGACCTTTTCTTTTCTATACATGCTCATGGACGTTGTTCTTTTTGGGGGACGATCACCATCTGATTGTTGTCGAACTGTTGCCACAACTAGCAGCTTGCTTTTTTAATTGCTCTTGTTCTAGAGGAAGCCCACTGCAAGTGTTCTACATATTTGTGAGTCTTAACACGCCTCTAGTTTCCTTCAGCTACACGCTCAGACTGTTTTATACCCTTTTACTCAGAGATGTAAATCAATTTGATATCATTTACTAAAAGTTGTCTATAACATAATTCATGTACTCTGTCGGGAGACTCTGGACAACTTCTCTTCTTTTCTTTTTTTACATTTTAAAAAAATCATATTTAAACCGTGTTTCAAATACATTCTTTTTTTTTTCGGAATTTCTTCCAATCGGGCGTTGGGTGGGTTGGGGGGGGGAGGCGCCCCCCCCGACACCCGTAGGGCCCCACCACGTGTCCCTGTCTCCACCTTCCACGTGTCTCCACCACATACTCTGTTGCAAAAAATCACCCACATATTTTGGAAACCTTCTATTAAGGGAATCCGTTTTATTCTTTGTTCCACAAAAAATATTTCACCTAGTGTACTTACAATATATTGTTATGTATATATCTAATGTTATGAATTGAAACATTCTTTTGCAACAAATCATCCACATATTATGGAAACCCTTTATTAAGGGATATTATGGAAACCCTCTATTAAGAGAATTCATTTCACTTTTTGTTCCACAAAAAATGTTTCACCTAGTGTACTTATAATGTTTCACTATGTATAGATCAAATATTAAATGAACTGAAACATTCTTTCGCTATTTGCTGAAATATTGTTTTTATATAAGGTGAAACATCGCCTGATTTAAACGATTGAAGCATTTTCGATCTACTTAGTGAAACAATTACGATATACTTGGTGGAACATCGTACAATATTTAAAAATAATTCAATAATAAGCTAAAAAAATTTTCGTCGGAATATATCCATGTGTAGTCTTGTTTCAAAGATTTAATTGCAACGAATTTAATGGTGCAATCGGATCATGATTTGGATAAATAATTTAAAAGAAAAAATAATTTAAAGTAGTTTTTGCATGCTGACGTCAGCATGACATGGGCGTCCGATTTTCCCACCTTGGATCGGGCGCCTGACGTGTAGTTGCCTCCTTTTTTTTTTAGCTTTCTTTGGTCCATTTTAATACAATATAACACTACCTATTTGGTGATTCTTGCATACACAACTAACTCTGGAAATTACATTTGTGTCGCATTGATGCTTTCCTTTTACTTTGATTTTATTAATTGGGAGATGAATGTATATTTAAGACGATAAAAGCTCCAACAATAATGCATCAAAACCATTTCTAGTCCAATAAATGCTTCCTTCCTACTACATTAATCAATCTATGCAAGTCCAGGACAATAAATTATGCTATAAGGTGTGCCATGGATGGATAATTAATGTAAATCCTGCTAATTAATGTAGCACTTCATTGAAAGAAAATCTGCCAGATATATATGAGATATGATATTATTCAAGGTAGGCACGCACCAATTCTTTGAAGCAACATTAAAGCCAACTCTTCTACTACTTATATGAGTTCCCAGGATCAACATGTTGCTTGAACCAGCCGTCAGTGAAATGGAAGTACACAACTATTCTTGCAAAATGCTGCAAGATTTGTGCCTTATGCTGTCTATATTTGTGGGCTTTTTAAATCATTTAGCTCTATCATCATCCTATTACGCGTACCCAGATGTTGGCCCAATTAGAGGCCAAGCTTCAACAAAAGGATTGAAAGAAATCTCATATGTAAGTTCACTTTATCTCAATCCATATCATGCTTTTCAACCTCATTTCTTCCCTTATCGTAGTGAAGCATATGAATGTTATGGATCAGTTGCATGTTCTTGTATACATATTCTTGGGTCACTTCTTTTTTTATCTTTTCTCTCTAAACATGATGTTTCTGTTTAATTACCAAAGCGTACAGTTTCTTATGACAATGAAATATAATTGATTTTTTTTCTTAAATTATGAGTGTTGATAAATAATAATTGTTAAACTGATATGAGTTGATATGACGATGGAAAGGTTGAATTTTGAGTCGGTGATGAGGGGACGTTTTTAGTTAAAAGTTGGGAAGTTGAGTTTTATCTTTTTAATATATTGTTCCTATTCAAACTCGTGAATTTGCAGCTGAACTGGAAAAGGGAATGAAAAATCCATATGTACTTTTTAAATTACAGAGATGATTTACATCTCCTGCCTCTATCATTAGGCACACAACCATGCATTGGGAGGATCCATTCATATTTATTCTTTATGTTAAGATGTCTATATGTTCAAGTAGTGAAAATGCCACTAGAATAACATATATATGTATATTATTTTTTCCTAGCACGCGTTACATCGTTCAACAGATGCCCCTGAAAATGGATATAGCGGCGCCATGGCAACTCTGGATGTTTATAATTTTCCATATTTGAAGAAAATGGAAGTAAGTGCTGCTATTGTTAGAGTTTCAAATTACCAAGACGAAGCCACTAAAGCTGGTCTCAATGATATACAGGCCGGATGGGTGGTAAGTGAACAACTAACCTTAATTGTCTATGTTAACATTTGGAGGATGTGTAGTACAATCAACATCAGCTATGATATATATATCTCATCTCAAATGCTATTTTCCCTACATATATAGATTGATCCAACCACCTATGGTGACAGCAAAACCCACTTCTTTGTATCTTGGACGGTATGTGTCCACTTATATTCATTGTTTGTGCACTTGAAATACATTGCTTAATTACCATGCATATGTCTTTAATTACAAGGTTTTGATATGGATGCATGACATACAGGCTGATTATTACAATAAAACCGGATGCTTTAACTTGGACTGTGACGGTTTTGTACCAGTAAACGGTGCCCCGGTGACTCCTGGAGATACATTAGAACAAGCTAATAACCAAACTAAAATATCATTCAAGATATTTAAGGTAATGTAACTAATAATTATTTGATCCTAGACTGTATTTAGTGTGTACATACGTATGCTACACAACACATGCTGATCTTTTTTCCGTAATATAGTAAATAAAAGTACATTTTCATGAACTGATTATTTCCCTAAACTTTCATATGCCCGGGTATGTAGCTTGTAGATGGGATCTCTTGAGCTGAAGGCTGAAAATTTCCCTGTTATCTTAAAGAAAATGTACCTTGTATTTATAGTAGGAAAATATCTAAGTGTACAGCCTTTACTTTCTCGAATAGTAACTCTTCCGAATATTCTTGCGCGATGATATTTTTCCATATATGTACACAGGACAAAAATGATGGAGATTGGTGGCTTTACTTTGGATATGACATCAACAATCTCAATCGAGTTGGATTTTGGCCAAAGAATATTTTTAATCGTATGGTAGATCATGCTACTCGTATAAGGTGGGCTGGCTATGCTCAATCCTACAAAGGGAGCTCCAGTCCCCCAATGGGCAATGGGCAATTTCCAGGAAAAATGTCAGCATCCTTTCAGAATGTTATGTATGTTGATACCGATGGCCAGCCCTATCCTCCTCCTGTTTGGCCTGCTGGTCTCGAAGTTTATGCAAGCAATACGAAATGCTACCAAGCTAGCATTTTTGAGGATAACATGTTTTACTATGTGGGGCCAGGTAGTTGTACTAGTTAAAATTAGAATCTCTTGAAAATATTAATGGCGAGGGCCATCTCTTTTCCCAAAAGGAAGAGGCCCTCGCGTCGCCCTCCCCCAGGCGGCTCGGGAGGCGATGTGCGCGCCGCCGCTTTCCTCCTCCCCCGCCTCCTCCTCCACCTCGCCGCCGCCAGAGCGGGTGCCGGCAATGCCGCGCAGCCGCAAGGACGGCGGCGGCGGGGTCTCGCCTAGCCAACCCTACGCTCGGCGGCGGGGGGGGAGCTGCCCGGGGCGGCGGTGGTGGCGGCCAGATCCGCGCCGTATCCAGCCGGATCTAGAGGGGGGATGGCCAGCGGCGGGGACTGACGGTGATGGTGGCGACGACGGCGGCGGACCACGGCGGCTGAAGGCGACGTCGGCGGCGGACCATGGCGACTGAAGGCGACGTCGGCGGCGGACCGCGGCGCGTCCAGGACGCCACGGCTGGGACCTCCGCCGCATCGTCATGGTCGTCTCGCTCCAACCGGGCGCCGAGCGGCGCGTTCCGTCCCCCGGATCCGCGCCATCCTGGCCGAATCTGGACAGGCGGCGGCTGGTGGCGGCAACCGGTGATGGTGGCAGCTGGCGGCGGCGGCTGGCGACGGTGGCGTGGGGACGATCGGCGGACCACAGTGGCTGACGGCGGCGGCCGTGGTGGCGATGGCTGGCGAGGGCGCATGTGCGGTAGTCGGCGCGTCGACGTCAGCGGCAACATTTGAAGACGAGGAAGGAGTTGGGCGGCGGGGAAGGAGGAGACCGGGAGCGGGCGTAGCGTGGGCGGCGGCTGCGTGTGGCGGCGTTGCACGGCTCGGGAGGGCTCCGACGAGCTCGGCGGTAGCGCGGAGTCGAGGCGGACTCCGGCAGGGTTGCTCGCTAGCGGCGAGCCTCCTGCTCGCGATGTGTGGATGTGGATGCGATGGCGTGTTTGGTTACGTCGAGGTATGACTGCTTGTGAGACGTCATGGACTATTCAGTGGTCGTCGATGTGGGGTGCTTGTGTGTGTGATGTGAAGACGTTGGCGAAAGCCTTGCCGTGCCTTTGGCCGGTTCGACGATGACGATGCCCACGGGCGCCGTTAACCTTCTTGGAGGCGTCGTGATGGCGTTCCTTCATATTCCCCACAAATCTCCAGGTGAAAACCTTGTTCCGATTTCGGATGAGCGGCGGCGACGTTATGCATCGTGTCCTCCTTGGGGGTGTCGCTTCGGAGAAGCTCCTATGTATCGACGACCGTGGATGGTCTTTTTCGGTTCTAAAGCCTTCATACCTTGGCGTTCGGCGAGGCCTTCGCCTCCTTAGGTCCGCTTCGTTCTTGTGGTGGGTGACACGCTCTTCAGTTGCTTCTGCTGATGAAGTCGGAGCGGCTCGCTGATGACGTGCGGCGATGCTTGGCAACGATGACAAGTTGCAGTCTCTTCCAAGGAGTTGTTGTTGGCCGTGTGAAGGAAGTGGCTCTTTGGTGGCTTGGCTGATGTCCATTGTTGGATATCGGAGCTGCTTTTCGCTCTAGCGACTTTCACGGCTTCAGTGTCGATGCGGTTGTAAAGTCGGCGCTGCTGGGTTGCTTGGGCGGCTAGCTCGACAACGATAACACCTCTTCTGTGATGTTGGAGCTGTTTCGGTCGCTTTTGTGTATTAGCTTGGCAATGATGTCCTATATTTGGGCTCCGCCGTCGTTGCGAGTTGTGTAGCTAGGTCCCTTGCTTTCTTCTGTGTGGTGAGTTTTAGCCGGTTTTCCATAATTAACCGTGCAATTGTATGGTTTTCGGGCCCGGTTTTCCTTATAAACTGGGTCAATTCTCTTCTTCTAAATATAAAAGTGGAACAAAGTTCCGCCTTAGGTTTAAAAAAAATGTTAATGGCTTAATCAGTTGAATAAACAATTTATTGCTAATTGGCGCTTGGTTTCTTCCACCCCGTAGCCTGCCTACAGCCTGTGGCTGCTTCATGCTATAATAGGCACCCTGGCTGCCTTGTAGTGCTGCACTAGGAAGCCAAATGGTGACTATGGGGTGTTTAGATCCAGGGGTGTAAAGTTTTGGCGTGTCACATTGGATATTATATAGGGTGTCATATAGTGTGTTCGGGGACTAATAAAAAAACTAATTACAGAATTCGTCAGTAAACCATGAGACGAATTTTAAGGCTAATTAATTTGTCATTAGCAAATGTTTACTGTAGCACCACATTATCAAATCATGGAGCAATTAAGCTTAAAAGATTCGTCTCGCAGATTAGTCGCAATTTGTATAATTAGTTTTTTTAGCCTATATTTAATACTCCATGCCGGTGTTCAAATGTTCGATGTGACATGGTGTAAAATTTTGAGGTGGGATCTAAACAGGCCCTATTATCAAGCTATGTGCAGTAAAAAAGATTGGTTTACTAGAAGATCACTTGCTAGTCAGGAACGATAACCGCTCTGTTCCTTGGGCTTCTTTCGTCGCTCTCCTTCATGCTCGCTTTATGAGTGCAACCAAGTTCAATAAACTATTCATACTAATTTATAAACTATAATGGTTTCTATCTAAGAGCCATGTACGTGAGATGCTTCCTTCTCATACACACATCTGAAGCAACATTTCAACATTTCAACATTTCAGCAACTGAATTAGAATGACGTGTGTGTTTATCAACCGGCCGATTAGTTCCCATCTCGTCATCTTTCTTTTGCTATATACCTGTAGCCAGCCATATATTAGGTCCACATTACACCTTTTTTTCTACAAAAAGGCAGTCATAATTAATTTAGGGGGCAATGGCCAATTACAATCAACATGTCCTCCAGGCTCCTGTGATGCACTCACTACTTGAGGTGCACTCGTTGTTCTTCACCTTATCCCATAGTTTATTTTTTTAACAGTTCTATCTGCTCAAAATCATTCATGTTATTAATTTGCAAATGAAGTTTAATTATGAGGGCAATAACACCACCAATTTGGTTGTTTGCATTGTATTGACTTTCGTGTTAGAACCTGGTTAAGGGGGTTTAATTTGTATTTACTTTGACGTGCATGACATGCATCTTCGCAGTTGTGCAAAATGTCTCAAACTAGGATAACGATGTCTAGATTCAGCCTAGGGTGGGAAACAAGGATCATGAGTTCATTACTCTAATAATCCAGATTCATTATACTAGAAAGAGGTCATATATATTCCTTTTTAGATTGGCTTTTTTTTTACAAAGAAAGCACAGGTATCTAAGAAGAGAGGTATCAAAACAAATGTTAATATTGGGTGTAACAGCCCTAAAATTCACTAAGTTTTAAAACCATTTTTCTTTCTTGTTGGATATATATATTAATTGGGTGCTTTTCCATATTTTCCCAGCGCTGCTATTTGCCGGGAGTGCATAGGTTCTGGATGATTATGATGGTACAGGGCTTTGCTTGGTCAGTCGAAAACCCCAGAAAAAAAAACACATGTAAACCACATTATTGCTTAATTTATATAAAAAGCATGGCCGCGCTCAGGGGCAGATTCAACGTGGGTGCGGGGGGCTTAAGTCCCCCTGCACCCACAAGACCCATGGATACCCCATGAGCACCCTTTTGATTTTTTCACCATGAATAAAAAACTAAAGGTCCGTTAAAGAAACTGCATAATTGAGCCCCCTCCCATTTTTTTTTCCTGGATCTGTCCCTGGCCCTGCTCTAGACTTCCTTTCTTTAAAAAAAAATACAACGCATGTCTTGTTATTTCTTTTACAAATACTCACAGAAAATTTTGTTTTTCTCCCTTTGCAAAGAAAGCAGAGACGCCTATGATAACTTTGTCATGCTAGCATAATCTTTAGGATGTACTCATAGGGACAGGATATGCTATATGCGCGTGTATATTTAGTAAAAGTGAAGCGCATGCATTATGAGCATGTCTGCGTTTTAATCGTGTTTTAAAGAAAAAAAAATGGAAAACTAAATTCATTCTTCAAGCCGCGCACTTACGTACGTGACGTAGGCAGTTCCTACTCGCTTCGCCAATCAGAAAGCGAGGCAGTACGGTTCTGATATCGTGACTTTCCGTTCCAACATCGGAATCGTCGATCTCGCTCGCCTCGGCCGCCTGGGAGTAGCTCGCTCGCTGTCATCTCGTTGCGATCAATATATCCCGGCCGCCGCCGATCAAGCAGGGCTAGCTGCTTCCGTTGCATCATCCTCGCCGGTGATCACCCAGGGCTTTGGTTTTCGATCGTTTGCTAAAAAGTTTGGCTGCTCACTACCGAGGTCATGTTCTGTATATGCAGTGGAAGAGAGCATTATTTTTTTCTTTTTGAAATTGCTAAAAAATTGTCACAAGTTTTTTGGGCAAAAAAAAACTTTCAAATGTAATTGTAGTATAGTTCTAATGTAACTACAATGTAATTACACTATAGTTACATTGTATTCTCTATATAAGTTACATATATTATTTTAATACTTATATACAAGTTATATTACAATATAGTTATAGTGGAATTATATTACAGTTATATTTGAAAATTATTCCCTATATTTGAAAAACTTGCGACAGTTCCTATATTTTTTAAACATGGTCACCACATAAACACTTAGGTGGGCCAAGGTTATCTTGTGGTTAGTACTCCCTCCGTTTCAGGTTATCAGATGTTTTGACCTTAGTCAAAGTCAAACTACTCCAAATTTGACTAATTTTGTAAAAAAAAGTATAATATCATTTACGAATTTGGTAGTCCTATTTTCTTTCCGCTTCCCACTCGAGTAAGTTCTCGATCGACTGCAGGCATGCAGCCAATTGTGCTTAATTCCATGATTTCAACCTATACTCCATTTTTCCATTTAGGGCGCATTCTTTGGCTACCTTCTCGATTTTTGTTAGCATATTTTTTAAACCGTTAGCCGTTAAAAGGTATGTTTTGTAGAGATAAAGTTTAGAAATGGCACGTTTATGCATGCTGCATGTTTTTTCATGAACAATTAATTTTTATTTTATAAAAATATTTAAATTAAACCCAAAATTATGAAATTTCAATTTTTATATTTGAAATATCCAGTCTAGCTATTGGCTCTAAGCATTTCTTTTGTTTATGCAACTTGATACAATTATTTCTCTCATTATTTTTTGTAGATGGATTATAGTTATGACGGCAATAGCTCTGAGAATGTGATTACTTTTATCTTGCCATTTCTCATGGTAGCAGCGGCGGTAGGAGTGGTCGGATACCTACTCTACCGTCTATGCAGCATGCACCAGCGACAATCGTGACTGCAGGATATGCCTACAGGAATAGGAGGTCGGCGACACTATTGCCAGTCTACTCTACGGACACCGGTTTCACCACAGGTGTGTCACCAAATGATTCTTCAAAAGAACCAACGGTTGCCCTCTGTGTCGCGTTGCTGTCTAGTACTGTAGCTCTATGGGATATATACGTGCGAGTTATCTTTTTACTGACTATGTATGTGAGTTTAGGATATTTTATTGTGAGTTATCATTTTATGTACTGAGTACTTTATATATTGTACTACTAGTATTACTAGTATTGTATTAAGTAGAACATATACACTAAGTATTTACTACTACTTTATATTGTATTTACTATCATTTTTGTTTTAGACAATGTGCACCCCCTAATAAAAATACATCCGATGTCTTTAGTATGAAGACTAGTTAATACTTTATCGAGTTACAGTTGCACACACTAAACTTTGGAGCTTTCCTCGTCGACATTGAGATTGAACTTTCAGAAGCAGAGGCGGAGCTAGAAATTATAAGACTGTAGCTAAGATAGGACTCTACTAATGAAGTATTCATTTCCTATAAAATTTACATGATGAATTAACAAAATTTAAATAAGTTTTTGGAGTTAGGCCTAGGGCTTAAGGGCCCTAGCTACCCTAGGCCTACCTCCGCCCTTTCAGAAAGGATACCTTAGCTAACTAAGCAAACTTGACATCAAAATCGTACATGCATTTGCCAAAATTCACCTGAGTTTCTAGCTTCTCGAAATAAATTTGTCCTAACATAGCAAACCAAACCTCCAGCTGCTCAAAATACAATGGTCTGCCTGCCACTGCTGCACACCTTCTAGTTCCACCTTCTTTCCTCTGATATGGCAATACATAACATATGAAAAGTTTCAGCACACAAAGAATCTGAAAAAAATATTCTTCTTTCGAAGAATCATATATGTAATATGGATCAACTAGGAAACTATGTATAAACAGCATGTTGTATATTGTAGGGAGAGATATACTGTTGTATTGAACCTCACTTTTTTTAAAACGGAAAATCAATCATATCCTAATACCAAAAACACATGACCACTCGACAGAAGAGCAAGATAGATGTACAGGATGGATCCAGGATGAACTAGTAGAAGGACAGAATAAATTATACAAAGCTATAACCTCTCTTCTAGTGGATAAATGTATGGCAAAATATTTTAATGATGGTTAAATGGAGGCTCATCCCATAGTTACAATATCTTAGGGGGCACAGGACCCCTCTGTCCTCATGATAGATCTGTCACACAGAGTCCTTGTATATTGGCATAGGACAGCAAAATCTCCACCGCCTCACCATCATGCCTCGCTGCGCTAATTGAGTCGCTGGATCAAGGAATAGCCTCGAGTACGTGCTTGGCCCGTTAAAGTTGGGCCAGAACGTACGGGAAAGCAATGAAGGTGCGACCCATCAGGAACTGGGCAATGGCTGACGTAAGGCCCATTAGTGTTGGGCCAGAGGCGTATATGAGGCCTGTTGTGTTTGTCGCCGGGCCGATGTGAGGCCCATTATAGTTAGGCACAAGTTACTGCTGCTGCTGCTGTGATTCTCCACAGCCCGAACTGTTTTCTCTTTGTTTTGCACACTGCGGCCCATATGCAAGAGGTGGCTGGCAAACCGAAGCAGGGACATGTTTAGTACCATACCGCTTGTTTTGGACAAGATGAGCTAGTTGTTCCGCTACTTATATAGTCAGGAAGCTACTAGTTGAAAACTCAAGCAGCTGCGTGGTGAGCACAAAAGCGAACTATTCTTATACCTTTTACTAAAGAATACCGTGTACGCGCCACAAATAGCAGCATACTTTTATTTTTGGAGGGTGTTTTCTCTTGGAAAAAATTATCTCTTTAGATTAGACTCAATTTCCAAAGCTAAATTTGTTAGTTTTGTTTGACACTACTGTACGCACAGTTTTGGAGGGTGTTTTCTCTCGTAGGAATACAAATCAAAGTTCAAGATCTATCTTTTAAAATTCAAGCTCAAAGTTAAGTTTGCTAGTTTTGTTTGACAGATGATGTGGTTGGCCTGCTAATCATGCTAGTTAGGGATGGCAAAAATGAGCTACTCAATGTAAGTCATTCTAACATTTCTCACATTTATATTGATATTAATGAATCTAGACATATATATCTATTTAGATTTATTAATATCAATATAAATGTGGAAAATGCTATAATGATTTACATTGTGAAACGGAGGAAGTAGTTAGTGTGAACTAAAACAACATTTTCAAATTACATAGTTACATTAGTATTTTTAGTATGCCACAGTAGAGCAGAGTATGGTCAAGAAAGCGTTGCGTTTGCCTTCAAAACTACTACATAAAAGCTTGGCTTAGTTGAAACTAACTTGTGTATTGTCGCTTGCATTTCCCTTTCAGGACAAACCATTGTCAACTGCAGTAAGTTCACCATAAAAAACAATAGGAAATGCACATGATTTCAGTAATCCTCTATCGAGCACAAGTTACAAGTACAGGATCATATCAAGATATTGCCGCTATTATTTTTCTGAGAAAAAAACTGCAAATATATGTGCTGTATTGCTGCAGAGGAAAATATAACTGATCCAGCAATGCAAAAGAAATGTCCACCCCAATTCATTCACCTCAGACCATGGAGCAGCTTGTCTCTCTCCAAGACTTCATTTTTATTATCTTTATAGCTACTTAGTTCTAGGGACAGCCTCATGTTGTTCTGGTCGAACTAAGATAAACAATAAGACAATGTTTGGCTAATGAGATAGCGAAATGATTTTCCACCCACCAAAAGACATCTTTAAATCCTAACTATTTATTATCTATCTTCTATTTAATCATAACCCTTCATTCATTTCACAATCTCAATCCCACTCCCCATTTCACATTATCTAAACACACCCTAAGTATAAACATAGAAAGATGATACACAATGAAACCCTCTCTCACCCCAGCCCATTTAAGATCTTTGGCATTTGTCTGGTTTACGCACAGATCGTATCTCGCCGAATAAAAGTAATAATAGTTGCATTCAACACCGTAATTTCGAGTATGATTCAAGCTTGACATGACCACCTAGATTCGATTATGCATTGTAAAAAAAAAAAATCTTTTCTGGGACAACATCCATGGCATTAGATCTCTCGCAGTTGTAGTTTTCTTAAATGGGCCAAGTACGTTCCGGAAGAGGAATAAGTTCATATGAGGTCCCTTAACTTGTCAACGAATTCGATTTTCGTCCCTCAACCAGAAAACCAGACACAACAGGTACTTCAACTATCAAAACCGGTGCAGATTAAGTCCCTCGGCGGTTTTGAGGGCGGTTTTGGATGATGTGACGCCTACGTGGCTAATTTGACTCGTCTTCATCTGACGTGGCATTGACGTGGCGCTTACGTGGCAATTCATCCAGAAAAATAATAATACCCGTGGGACCCACATGTCAGTCTCACACAGAAAATAATAAAAAATGGTGGGCCCACGTGGGCCCCACATGTCAGTCCAACCCACCCCTCCTCTCTCTCCCCATCTCCCCTCTCTTCAGTTCAGAAGAGCGGTGTGGCCGGCTCTCGATCTTGGTCAGGCTGATGTCCCGAAACGCGAAGGCCGACAGCACCGAACAGCACCGACGTCCCCTCCCTGTCGTGCGCGAACACGATGCTCGTCTTGAAGGGCCGGTCCGTTCGCGGGATGATGGGCTCCCGCGCCAGCATCACGAACCGCGTCACGTTCCCGGCGTCGTCCTGGATGCCGTCGGCGAGCACCTGGAGCCCGTACAGGTCGGCGGCGCGAGAGGATGCGATGGCGGCGGTGTCCCGGAGCCCCGCGGCGACGACGTGCTCGGCGGCGGCCGCGGTGTCGTCGAAGGCCTCGCGGGCGACGTTGAGGCCCATGGCGTTGAGGGTGAGCTCCCCGAGGGATGCTCGACGGGCACGACGGCGCGGGAGTTCTCGACGGGGAAGACGGCGCGGTCGGCAATCCAGAGCTCCACGGCCTGAAAGGCCACCTCGAACTGGTCGCAGGGGATGGCGTCGCAGAATGGGTAGGCCTTGGCCGCCGCCGCCTCGCTGTAGGCACCCGGGAGCCGGGACACCCTGGTAGGCGACGCGCAGCTGCCTTCCGTGCATGGGCGCCGGGGAGAGATCGGTGATGGTCACCTGATATACGTTTTGCAAATCTCAGCACCCTAACATCAGAAACCAGAGGTGCCATAGTAAGACAATCATGCAATGAAAGTAACCGAGTGCCTGAATATTCAGTAATGCTCATTGTTCAGGTTTCAGAGAATGACAATAACTGTAACAACAAGAGGGTGATGTTGAATTGGTGATGAAAAAAAAAAAAAAGAAACCGGGGTGTCACCTACAACGTGGCGTCCGTCTCGTCGTCGGGCGCTTCCCAGGCGATTATCATGTCGTAGGTGAGCGAGTGGAACTCGCTGTCGCTGAGGTAGTCATGGCGCTTGGTCTCGACGCACAGGGCAATGTAGGAGCAGTACTCCACGACGCTCCTGGCGTACACCAGCGGCTGGTCCCCCTTCTCCGGCTCAAACCGCCGGAGCAGCTGCTCCACCTCCACGCCGGCGATCCTGCAGCCACGATCGATCGGGGAATCAAATCAATTGGACACTGGTGAGGATGAAGGGAGATCATACCGGGCGCATCGGTGGACGACGGAGGAGGCGGTGGGGGAGAGGGGAGGGATGGCGTAGTCGGGCGCCGCCATGCCCTCATCGTCGCCGCCGCCGCCGTCGACGCGCGGGGCGAAGAGGAGGTCCTCAACCTCAAGGAGACCCATCTGGAGTGGCGACGGAGCACCAGGAGGGACGCATCGTTCGTTCATTCGTCGGCAGTGTCCCCGTCGCGCGGCGAGGTTTCCATCCTCCAGAGGCGAGGGGTCGGTGGCGGGAAAGGGCGGCGTCGCGCGGCGGTTTTGAGGGTGGTTTCCCTGGCCTACCAGCGAGCGCGCCCGCAAGAGAGAGATGGCCGGTGGCCGCTCTTCTCTATTTCCGCCGCCATCGTCGTCGCCGGCCGCATCTGGTGCCCATCCCCAGCGCAAGAGAGAAACGAAGAAAGGGGAGATGGGGAGAGAGAGAGAGAGGAGGAAGAAGAGGAGGGGTGAGTTGGACTGACACGTAAGGCCCACTATTTTTTATTATTTTCTGTGTGAGGCTGACATGTGGGTCCCACTAGATTTATTATTTTTTCAGATCGAATTGTCACGTAAGCGCCACGTCAATGCCACGTCAGATGAATACTGAGTCAAGTTAGTCACGTAGGCGTCACGTCAGCCAAAACCGCCCTCAAAACCGTCGAGGGATTTAATCTGTACCGGTTTTGACAGTTGAGGGATCCGTTGTATTTGGTTTTCTGGTTGAGGGACGAAAATCGGATTCGTTGACAAGTTAAGGGATCTCAGATGAACTTATTCCTTCCGGAAGAATGCAACACATGTGGTTGGCCCATTTTCGTTGGGCCAAATTGTACGGGACCGCAACGTACATGAGGCCCATACGGAACGGGCCTGTCGTGACGTGTGGCCCGTTATAGTTGGGCCGGAATGGGACTTCTGTTGTGGGCTGTGGCTAGCGTCAGGAAAGGCCCAACAGTGCTGCTTCTATAGGCCCATGCAGGAGATTGGTGCAAAGCAGAGAAGAGACACCAGAGCCGCCGGGGGAGCAGAATATTTTTAGTACCATACCGCTTGTTTTGGTGGAGGTGAGTTAGCCATTCGGCTATTTAAAGGGCGGTAGCTGCTCGGCGAAAACTCAAGCAGCTGCGTGGTGAGCACAAAGCGAACTATTCTTTCGCCTTTTACTAAAGAGTACCGTGTGCGCGCCACAAATAGCCGCATACTCTTATTTTTGGAGGGTGTTTTCTACAAATTAAGGTTAAATATTGATAATATTTATTTTTGGAGTTCAAATATTGATAATATTTATTCTTGGAGGGTGTTTTCTCTTAGAGGAAACACTCTAAGTTCAAATAGTAATAATATTGATCTAACTGAATAAATATAAATAGAATATGGATCGAATTAAAACTCAAAATTTATCTCTTGATAGTCAAATTTCAAAGATGAATTTGTCGTTTTTGTTTGTATTTGACAGATGATGCATATATAAACATATTACCAGTAGGTTATAGGCCCTGTTTAGATTTTAACTTTTTTCTTCAAACTTTCAATGCAGCGTGTGCCATATGTTGACCATATAGGTTAGATTTCAACTTTTTTTCTTCAAACTTTTAAATTTTTCGTCACATCGAATTTTTCTACACACAAATTTTCAACTTTTTTATCACATCGTTCCAATTTATTCAAGCTTTCAATTTTAACGTGCAACTAAACACAACTATAAGCAACCTACCAGAGCATGCCAAGATTTCTGACGGACAGGCGACAGCATGGAACAGAGCATATGTTTATCATAATAATTTGTCTTCAAATAGAAACTAGTCAACTTTTTCTTTTTCATATATGTACTCTTGCATACAGCTTGCAGGTTCCTTTCATTTTTTGAGAGATATTAGGTGCAGAGTACAGGCTCGTTTCTGCAAACAAAATCCTGTTTAATAATGTGAAATCTGCTATTATGCAAGTTTTCATCAACAGATCAAGAGGGAAATGGGCAAGTATTTTAAGTATACCACAAAAGAGTAGAGTAGTACTATATATAAATTTAGTCAAGAATACCTTGCGTTTGCCTTCAAAATTACATAAAAGCTTGGCCTAGTTGAAACCAACTACTGTATGTATGTACTGTCGCTTGCATTTCCCTTTCAGGACCACCATTGTCAACTGAAGTAAGTTCACCATACAAAACAATATAGGAAAATGCACAAAATTTCAGTACTCCACCATCAACCACAAGTACAGGATCATATGATCATATCAAGATCTTAAAGATTTTTTTTTCTGTGACAAAAGCTAGCAAATATCCGAGCTGTACTGCTGGAAATGAAAATCAAACTGATCCAGAAGAGCAAGGAAATGTCCATTTCATTCACCTCAGACCAAGGAGCAGCATGTCTCAATCCAAAGATCTCTTTTTCTCTTCTTGATATATATTAGCTAGCTCTAGGTACAGCCTTATGGCCAACTGCTGAGAGTGACAGGTAAAATGGCCATATCTGAACTTCTGAAGGCATGAAGGTGAAGTGGGGAAAGGTGTGGACGATGATCTTGTCAAGCTTTGATGATGGCTTAAATCGGTTGGAGCAACGGCTAATGTAGTACCACTGTACCAACTAAGCCTTCAATGCTGAACAGTTGCAGACAAGAGCAAAAGATGAGGACAAGCATTGCAAGTATGTGTATATGTTCAGCATCAATGTACATTTTTTAGGGGGCCAAGAAGAATGACATGTAACCATGAATTCCAGGCTTTGAAATGGACATTCCAATGCCTTGAGCTTCTGATGAAAGTTCAGGTCCCTATTGAATATATATAGCAAGTGGATTAAAGGGGTACTGATGTTGAAAAAGGCGCAAGCACAGTGCCCATCAGATAATCAGATGGCATTGTTCACTTGAAGTACAAAACAAGTTTTATTTATTTTTACCCTGAAGGTTAGAAATCATGATCAAATGATGTGGGGAAAGAGATAGCGCAAAAATATTAAAAAAAAAACTTTATTGACAACATAAACCTTCCCCTTTTTTTTGCGAGAAGGTGCCGATAGTAGGATGGTATAAGTCCTCCAGTTGTGAGATTTTTATGGGTTCAGAGATGGTCTGTGACAGTGGAGTTTTCGTACGGGTAAGAGCTATCTTTTGGAGCATTTTGTCGACCTTAAATGTAATCATTTCGGGATGTCTCTCCCCTGTATTTGTCAAGTTCTTCTTTAAGTCAATGTTTCGACATTTCTTCCACACCACTGATAAGCTTCTCCAGCTGCAGAACACGGCCATGAAATCAATGTGCAACCAACTCCATCTTGACGCATGCATATATCGCGACCTGAAACTAACTGATGAGATGGGCCAACATGACTGTCCAAAGTTGGCGCCTTCTCAGAGCTTTTTTTTTTTTTCCATCGGCGTGCATGCATACCTGAACATATCTGCACATGTCATGCATCATCAACCATGCATGTGAACTGATAAGTTCTGATAAGTTCAGTGCTCATGTGGCACCCTGAGGAATTAATTAACAAGATGATGCTGATTACTCTAAATCATAGCAGAAGTGAAGAACAGCATGCATACCTGAACATATCATGCATCATCAACCATGCATGTGAACTGATAAGTTCAGTGCTCATGTGGCACCCTGATCCTTGGTTCAAATATCAGGAATCAATTAACAAGATGATGCTGATTACTCTAAATCATAGCAGAAGGGAAGAACAGCATGGAGTTTAAGCCAGAGAATATGCATGGGTGCAATTTGCAGGAGTGACCACTTTCAGATTTGTTCAGAATTTATAGTTCTCTAGTCGACAAGTGACCAAGCACAATGATGAGATATTCGTAGAGTTGTCCTGAAGGAAGAACTGCACGTTTAATCCTGAACTGTTATTGTACCAACTTATGTGATGGCCCCGGCACTGTTTACACAACTAACTGGAGACATTTTAGGCAGTATTATGGGACAGTATTAGTTGCAATGTGAAGAAACATTGATCAGCACTGACCAGAAATCCGAGGGTACACTGGTACACCAAACAAACGAAATAAATGACGATCAAGTACAATTATGTGCTACTTGCAAAATGAAGAAGTTAGCTCTTAACACTGCAAATGACAGTGCTAAAGATGGCACATGTGATCCATTGATTGAGAGGATAGTAGAAAATATTGAGAAATAAAAAGAGGGACTGCTAGAAGATTTTTTTTTTAAAAAAAGAAAGAAACCTTCAAGTGCAGTCAGATAATGAGATCTGACAAATATAGATGTATCAGAAATTCAGAGATAAAACCAAGAAGTGAAGAGCACTCCATCAGCTAAAAATTCCACAGAAGATTTATTAACAATAAATGGTAGATGGAAATGAAAGGTGAAAAAACGTAGACCTGAACTTTGCCATCACAATTTTCTAGTTACTTAATTCATCAATTTTAGGTCATGGTGATGAAACGATGAGATAATCTGTGATAGCTATCTTGCTCATTTGAAGAGCCGTTACGTGACCGAAGGTGTATAGTGATTACCAGTACTGTGACTTATATATATTGCCGTATAATAGTCTCCTCATTACCTGTCAACTCATCAGTGATTGCCAAAATGAGTTATACTCTTATATTGAGGAAATCTTCTCCTTTTTTTTTGACTTGAAAGGAAAGCTTCTCTTTTGTCAGTTTATATAGAACATGTGCGATTCGGTGGAGATAAACACACGAGTATTTACGTTGGAAAAAATGTCTGTTTTCTAACAATAAAATTTTATGAAAAATATATAAAAAATCAACCATAAACTCAAAGCCAGAAGCTAATCAATCATGCATGGACAATTGAACTTGCCTCAGTTTAATTATACCAAAATTTATGTATGTCCCAAACACTCTACAGTACACTCGATAATTTCTTATAGACTATATTAACTTTTTACGTGAACGCGTAAAAAAATTACACATTAATTTGCAGACTATATTAACATATGGTTCCAACCTTGCTCGGTAACACCAAGTCAGTGACATATCACCAATTCACCAAAAGCTCACTCTAGACGTTGAAAAATCAAGTTTTGATTATTCGTGATCGAATAGCTTCTGATTTCGATGTTCAGGACTATAAATTCTGCCTCCTTTATAATATTGAATAAAATCTTCTAGATAGAAGTAGGTACAAATAGGTATGCTGATGCAAGTAAAGTCGTATCGATTTGAAATACGATGGTTCATGAGAGATATGATAAGTTTTTTGCACTTATATACGAATTTTAAATATGCATTATTACATTTTTGAATATAATATATACACACGTCTCTATATATCATCTGTACACGCGAGCAATTGTGACGTATTAATTGTTGTATTTTCCATACGAGAAGATGCATATGCTTACAGATGAAGGAAGAAATCAACACCTTCTTGTAAGTTTCTTTAGAAATACCTTTTTTTTGTAAGTGTATGAACGGATTGAAGATGCATTGTGTGATCAACAAAATTCGAACTCCCGTCATGCTTTCAAAGTGTCCACAATACACGTAATACATACACCATGAGAAAATTTACCCCCAAACAATTAAATATGATCATGCATCGCATATAGATACCTCAATATCTCATACCATCAATATCGGTTTGGAAGCGAACTGAGTTCAGTTGTAGTTTGACTCTCCGACTCATCATGGGCGCTAGCATTTACAAATAATTATTCTCTCCATCTATTTTTGATAGTCATATTTCATCTTAGCACACATACTAAGGATAAGTAATTTTACTTATCATCTATTTAAACATGCTACTAGTTATTCCTCGTAAACAAGCGATTCATTAATATTTATATTTCTCAATGTCCATTTAGCCAATCTTGTGTGGAAGAATAGAGAGTCACGCATTAAATCCGAGAAAGTCATTAAGATGATAGGTTGTTGGATTGAAATGTGCCTATCAAAAATAAGTTTTTTCAGATTTGGAAATATAACTATCAAAAGTAGATGGAGGGAGTAATATTTATCAACAATGAAGACTCATAGGTGCTTATGGGGGTAGGATAAGGGTAAGATGCACGTGCTTATACATGAGTGTGTATTTGTATTGTTTGTGTTTCTTAAAAATATATATACACTTTTTTTTCGAAATACGATACACTATATTATACATATTGGTTTGGGAAAAAAAATGCAGATCACGAGAAGATATCAACCTGTCGTGCATTGATGATGGCCACACTTGTACCTGGTTTTCGATCTTGATCATTAATCTTGCCACCTTCTCATTCACACAGAAGAACATCTGTTTCAGAAGAAAAGTAGTTCAGGGCAAACACCACATTCAGAGAAACATAAGGTGTGTTTAATTATTTTTATTGACGTACAAAGCTTGCTGGACTTCATGTGAAGTCGACGGGGCCTTTCCATATGAGATCCATATAAGCATGTGATTATTATACCACACATCGTTCCATCTCAATCTTCCAAAAATCAAACGGTGAAAGGATACCCTAAGTCGTTCCCTACTTTAGTAGGTACTAGATAGCTAGCAATCTTACTTTATTAGCTTCATTACCCCCTTAATCATGCCATCTGCAAAGTTGGAGTGCCAGTTAATCAAAACAATACCATTTTTTTTTGCCAGAAACACAATACTATTTATTATGATGGTTGAAAATTTTTGCTCCGCTTGAAAAAATAGAAACACCTAGTCTACGAAAATTCCTAGTAGTGTATTCAACTTGATGAAGCTTCAACCATCTACGCGTTAATGGATTCACCTAATTAAATCAGGCTAAAGGACTCCTTTAGGATGCGGAAATTTTCACATTACAAGCATTGTACAATTTTTACAAGAGTCAACTCGATTCCGTGGAGACCAGAAAAAAAATCCCGTGTTCTAGAGGAGTATGCGTGTGTTCTTTTATGTTGCATAGCTGAATGATTTATGATAAGTGTTCAAGGGTACAAATGAATGAATTAACTATTATAATATTAGAAAATTATTTAAAATAGTATTTTAAGAAATCCATATATATAAAGCTTATGTAAAAATTGTACCATTTAGAAACTCGAAAGCGTGCAATATTTATCTATGCATATTTATGACAATTTATATATATGAGTGCATGTGTATCTTTTGTGCTGAATGATTATTTATCATAATTAAGTGTAGAAATAAACAAAATAACTATTCACATATAGATTTTTTTTTAGAAAATTGCACCATTTAGTAACTTAGAAAACACGCATATTTATCCATTCATGCAAATCATTCATTGGAACTCAGGAAGTGAATTTCGGCTATCTATTAAGTGACTGATTATTTTCTTATCTATCAATCACTTTTTAAACACTAATCAATATCAACAATTGGTCTTATGTTTTTCTTTCTTGTGTGAAGCATGTTCTAACCTAAAAGTTAAAACTTAAAAGGATATACTACCTCCATTTTAAAATGTATAACATTGTTGACTTTTCGTATAACGTTTGACCATTCGTTTTATTTAGAAATTTGGTGTAAATATGCAAAGTTATAAGTTAAGACTATAATTTATTTAATGATAAAACAAGTCACAACAAAATAAATTATGTTTATTTAATTTTTATTAAGACGGATGATCAAACGTTATGCAAAAAGTCAGCAGCGTCATACATTTTAAAATGGAGGAATTATATGTTTTGATGTAACTTCTTGCCCATATGTAACTAGAAATTGCTATTTATATAAGTAAATAATACATCCAGATTAATCCAAAAAAAATAAAAACAAACCAAACTAAAAGTTCCGCTTTCTTTTTACTGAAGTTACAATTTGCAAGTTTAGTTGACTAAAAAAATCGACCCTGATAAATAGAGCTGAATTTCTTTTTCTTCAGCAAAATTCCTAAAAGAAAATTCAGCAAAATCAAGAGCAGCCTTGGTCGGTTGGCCACACAAACCGCTTTCTTTCTTCTGTTTTTTTTTTCTTCTCCGAGGTGGACTCTGCAGCGCACGTAGGTACACAGACACAAGGCTGCCGCATGTATGCGTCATGTGGCAGCCAGAGGGAGAGGAACAAGGCACCAAACCAACCATGGAATGGAAGCAAAACACTCCTAACAATTTGGCGCCCTCTCTGTCTCTCTCTCTCTCTCTCCCCCCTTCTTTTTGTGAGAAGCCTCCTCCCACGTTTTCCCGTCTCCTTAACTGCTTCTCTCCTTCCTCTCCTACACAACTGTGGTGGTTGCAGCAAGAAAGAGAGAGAGGGTCTGAAGGCAGCAAGAATTCAGTAGCATTCCAGCTGCCGTGGGAGAGAGGGCAAGAGAGCAGGAGAAAGAATTCCAGCGGCGGCGGCGGCGGCGGCGGTCGTCGGAGAGGTGGAGAGATGGATGTGGAGGGTGGTGGTGGTGGTGGTGGTGGCGCGCCGCCCAGGGGGAGGAATTCTTGGGTAATCAATTAAGCTTTGGTTCTTGGTTTGGTTCTTTGGTCTTTCAGTTTTGTGTTTGATTTGGTTGGTTTGGTGCATTTTGTTTGCAAGTAATTTTGCAGTGTTACTGCGGATTCTGGGATGAGTTACTTTGGGTGCGGGCGCTATCTCAAGTTCCTCAGGGTTAAATTTTGTAGATTTTCTGCATTTTGTTCTGAAAAAAACTGAACTTTTTCGAAGTCTATGGCGCTACAATTTCGCTTGAATCTACTTCTGTCTGACTAGGTGTTTCTGTGTATGCATGAGACAGAGAATGCTCTGAAGCTAAGGTTGTAGCGGCGCACTTCTTTTCAGTTCTGAATTTAGGTGGTAAAGTTGGTTGTTTTCAGTTAATTAATTTTGCATCAGTCCAGCTCATTAGTTGCAGTCTTGCAGAGTGATATGTTATGCTTTCTGAATCTGATAAGGGGAATCCATGAGTTCAGGAATCAATAGATTCCATAGACGAGATGGTATCACGAAATCTTTGTAATGCACTGTAATTTTCCTCTTTGGTAAACGGGTCCATTTTCTTACATATACACGATTTTTAAACGTAGCCATCAGGTCACTTTTGATGGTCAGATTGGACATTTCCTTTCAACTTAGTACTAGTTACTACTACTTCAGAGTTTGAGATTTTTTCTGTTTACTTTGAATACTATCTTGTTGCCTATTTCAAGTTACTCTTTCTAGATCATCAATTTTGGCCAGCAGTAAAATTCAAAGTAGTCAAGTCGATACTACTGATTAGTAATTACGTCATCAAATGGTCACGGACACGAAAGCATGACACGGTCTGTGTTTGCTAGGGATGGCAGAAAGGAACACTTCTACTGGCATATCAGAGCTTCGGAGTTGTGTATGGCGATCTCTGCATCTCACCCGTGTACGTGTACAAGAACACCTTCTCCGGAAAATTGCGTCTTCATGAGGAGGATGAAGAGATCCTTGGGGTATTATCTCTGGTCTTCTGGAGCCTTACTCTTATACCTCTCCTCAAGTACATCATCCTTGTTCTAGGAGCAGATGACAATGGAGAAGGTGATTTCAAAAATCCGCGTGTTTTTCGCCGTATTAATAATTTCAATGTGCATTTAGTTAAATATATGCCATTTTTGTCTTGCAAATGTGCCATGTATGTTTGCAGGTGGCACATTTGCTCTGTACTCATTGCTGTGCAGGAATTCCAAGATGGGACTTCTGAACAACATGCGTGCAAACCATGGTTCTCTGTCGGCATACAACAAGGAGGAACCTTGTAAGGAGTCGAGGAACAGCATGCTCATCAAGGCCTTCTTCGAGAAGCATTACTCGCTTCGTGTTGTGCTGCTGCTGTTCGTTCTGATGGGTACTAGCATGGTAATTGGGGATGGTGTCTTGACCCCAACAATGTCAGGTACTGAACTCTGAAAGACTGAAACTGAAGATTTGTGGAAGTTGTATGCTCAAGGCACAAATTTTGCTGCTTGATCATTTTTTTAGAAATTTTAGATAATGGAAGTGTTTTATAAACCAAAAATATATATGAGCATATTTTGTATACAATTGACAAACGTATATGATAGAGTAAGGAACTTTGTTTTTTAATTTCTTTTTTTTAAAAAAAAAACAGAGAGTAAGGAATTCTTGGGGAACATTTAAATTGCTTTAACATCATCATGTTTTGTTTGTGACTGAAGAGGGTGGCATGTTCTTTTCTGCAGTGTTGGCGGCAGTTTCTGGGCTCAGAATTAAGTTTCCAGAACTACATGAAAGTAAGCAGCTGATATATTGGCTTGTCTCATAAAGGTTTACTGGTCACTCCTCTTAGCAGCACACATTTAAATTACTCTTATTCTCAATTCTTTTTCTTCTTAATGTCTACTTGCACCAGAAAATACAGCTGATCTGCTCCTGTTACACTTCTCTGCAGATTACACTGTGCTCCTTGCTTGTGTCATTTTAATTGGGCTTTTTGCATTGCAACACTATGGAACACGCCGTGTCGGATTCCTATTCGCACCAATCTTGATTTCCTGGCTCACTTGCATTGGTGGGATTGGCATATATAACATCATAAAGTGGAACCCTAGTGTCATCCGTGCTCTGTCCCCGTATTACATATACAACTTCTTCAGGAAGGCTGGCAAGGATGGCTGGAGCTCACTAGGAGGGATTGTTCTTTGCCTTACAGGTTCACATATTTTTATCCTTTTAGTTTTGGTTTATCACTTGTTTTCGTTGTAACATGCTTAATTATAGCCGTAGATTTTCAGGTGCTGAAGCCATGTTTGCTGATCTGGGGCATTTCTCAAAGCTTTCACTGAGGGTAATATGATTTTCAGTGGTGAATTGGTGATAGTTTCAGTCTTGGTAGCTGAAAGAGTACACTTTTTTTTTTTTGCTAAGAATTAGGGAAAGAAATCTTTACACTTATTTTTTTGTTTTGCCATGACAGCTTGGATTCACAATTGTTGTATATCCTTGCTTAGTTCTGGCTTACATGGGTGAGGCTGCATACCTGTCCAAACATAGGGAGGATCTCCAAAGTAGCTTTTACAAAGCTCTTCCAGGTGAGATGTTAATTCTCTTGCCAGATTGCTTCAGGTTTTCCGCTGCTTTTTTTTTCTCATCATCTTTTCCAACAGAGAGTACATTGATTCTTGTAATATTATATTTATCAATCCCTTCAGAGTTTAGTATATATAATATCAGTAGAATTTGTGCATGGCCCATGTAAAGCTTAACACAAGATCAGGGAAAATCTGGCCCGGCCCAGTTATGCCCCAAAGGTGTTATGGGCCATGTTCGGGCAGTATTAAGCACAAATTCAGCCCTAAACAAATTCTTCTAATTTCACGGTACAAATTCAGTGTGTGGTCAGGACTGAAACAGAAGGCCTGAGAAACTTGGGCCAGGAATTTTGGCCTGATTCCAATTTCCGTCCATCGTTTCGTCTGTTAATGAAGTGCACATCATTCTTGTATAACTCACTTTCCCTTGTGGATCTGTGGTTTTCTATTACTTATATTACCAAAAAGAAATAGTGTATAAAGGAAGTAGAAGGATGTGAATTTGTTTGTGAAAGGTTAATGGGCCTTTCAAGGTCTTAGTGTATGGAATAACTCAGGAAACTACAAATCGGATGTCCGATTCTCTTAAAAAAAATTGGGTGGTTAAATATTTCAGTTGACCACCAGTGAAACATTAAGTTATGCGTGATGAAAAAAACAGCCATTGATTTTTTTTTTGTGTGTGAAACATAGTGAAAACACACGTTTAAACATGTCGTTATCGTGTATGAAACATTGAGTTTTAACAGTTCGAAACATATGTTTTCTTTCATCAGAATATAATCTTTGTGATATCTTACTGTGTGATCGGATCATAAGTCAGACAAGTAATTTAGGAGAAAAAAATATGTTGAAAATCACAAAATACATACATGTATGGATGAAGTGAAGAGAACAACTAGTAGACTCCAACATTAAGAATTTATTTTCTTGGCAAATTTATTTAAGTTTGAAAGCTAACATAAATTCAAAGAGAATTGGTTTAAAGCTAAGCATCATTTTTGTCGAGTATAAACATGCAATATTTATATCACCTTTCATTAAGAAAAATATTCAAAACCATGACTCGCTATGAGCAGTAGATTTTAATATTTAGATTGAATAATTAGCATGAAAACTGGTATGTGTGCTAAAAGGCAACAACTTTCGTGCTAGTGCACTTAATCCGTTGCTTTTCAGAAGAACCCGCAAATGTAACTGAAATATAAGACCTAAATACTAAACCAACTGAACCACAAATATGCACTATATTGGATGATAGCCCTAGCCGCCGACTCCGACAGTTGAGAAGTGACAAACCTTTCGATTGATAATCAGATTATCTGATGAAGGTGTGAGCATAACAACTCACTCATGAAGATTACTACTTGGAGAGATAGGCAAGCCTTCAGCTAATTGAATACTCAACAGTCAAAATGCTATTCGAGTAAAAGGAATTTGTTGAAGACACCCTAAGGCCTTAATGGTCCCTCATCTGCCTCGAGCACATAAGGTAGGGACCAGAAAGTTATACACGTAGTCCACAGGTTATTTGTAAACCTAATACTATTTAACGTAGGAAAATATCTATATTACCCTCAAGTCATAGGCCATTGTTGAGGGGATGTTGTATGTAATTTCTTTTGTACCCTATCTAGATTAATTAGAAAACCACCTTAGTGACAATGTAAAGGGGGACTATCTTTAGAGGAAAAAAGTTGTAACAAGCTTGTGGTACCACACTTACTCCCCATCGAAGGTTAGGGGCCTTCAACTCTTGGGCCCCTTACTCTAGAACTCGGAAGTAGACAGGAGACACACATATTGTATATAGTAGTCCTATAATATTTTTCAAGAAAAACTAGCGGTACAACAGTTGTAGTGAACGTATATATGTTTAACTAGATGAATACCCCGTCTCGTTGCTACGGGAAATTAAATTGTATAATATGTACAAATAAGATGCAATATATTTTCTAAACCAAAACAAAATGACTTCCTATATATGTTTTATCTAATCTACACATGGTTGCAATATAATGCAAGGTGAACATATTTTATGTAATTGATACTTATAAATTTTGAGCCTAAAAAAAATTGATATTGTATGGTTTCATGGGTGAAGAAAAAATAAACTATTTGTACCATAGATCTATCATGCTAGGGCTAAAAATAATTGAGATGATGTGGCTTAATGAGAGAAGAGAGGAATAACATTAACAATACTTATTAACGGGGATGAACTATATAAGTACATAGGATTACATTTCCTTCTAATGCAGCAATTGAAGTTATTCGACACCTTCTAGTTATTTTCCAGCTAGTGTTTTACATATCTGTGTATGTTTCCTTTTGCTACATATATATGCAGACCGTGTGTTTTGGCCAGTGTTGTTCATTGCAACGTTAGCCACAGCTGTTGGGAGCCAAGCGATCATCTCAGCTACATTTTCCATCATAAGCCAGTGTAGGGCTCTTGGTTGTTTCCCGCGAATAAAGGTGGTGCACACATCAAGCCATGTCCATGGTCAGATCTACATCCCAGAGGTGAACTGGGTGCTCATGTCCCTCTGCTTGGCCGTCACGATTGGATTCCGAGACACCGAGATGATTGGCAACGCCTATGGTAACTAGCACATCATTTGCTTCTTCTTTTAAACCAGACTCTTACACTTGAGGTAGGATTTGGTTAAACTTTTAAAACTTTGATTAACAATACTTTCTTAGATGTTTAGTTTATAAAGACAAAAATGGTATACACAAATTTTCCTTGAGAAAAACACTATATACTAATATCGTAACCTTGTTATATTTTATAACTTATTCCAATATAAAATTTATAGTCAAATATTTAATTAAAAGTTGATCGAATCTTGTCCTTTAAGGCTACAAAGAGTAAATTTAGGTGACTGATAAATAGTAACAACCAGTATATCAACACCCATTAATTACTTGTGTTAAGATAAATTTTATGGTCCGTAAGATATATCAAGAGATAAATTTTGATACCTTCTGATACCGGATATATCAAGAGGTAATAAATTTTGCATTAGAAAATATGACCATACCTCCAGATACCTTTTCAATAACCGTAAAATCACTCAGTTATCTTGTGTTAAAATTTGCAGGACTTGCAGTGATCTTGGTGATGTGCGCAACGACATGCCTGATGTTCCTGGTGATCACCACCGTGTGGAACCGGTGGGTGGTGTGGGCGGCGGCCTTCACCGTCGTCTTCGGCTCCGTCGAGCTCCTCTACCTATCGGCGTGCCTCGCCAAGGTCCCCCATGGCGGCTGGCTCCCGCTCCTCCTCTCCCTCACCACGCTGCTGGTGATGTCCACGTGGCACTACGGCACCGCCATGAAGCAGCAGCACGAGGTCCAGAACAAGGTCTGCCTGGACCACTTCCTCGGCCTCAGCTCCGGCATCGGCCTCGTCCGCGTCCCCGGCGTCGGCTTCGTCTACTCCAGCACCACCAATGGCGTCCCCCCCATGTTCGCCCACTTCGTCACCAACTTCCCGGCCTTCCACCGGGTCCTCATCTTCGTCTCGCTGCAGACGCTCGCCGTGCCCAAGGTCTCGCCGGAGGAGAGGTTCTTGGTCGGCAGGATCGGCTCGCCGGCGAACCGCCTGTTCCGGTGCATCGTCCGGTATGGGTACAAGGAGGGCAGGTGGGACCACTTCAACTTCGAGAACCAACTGCTGATGAAGGTCGTCGAGTTCCTCCGCCACCAGGACGGCAGCGGCGGAGGCGGCGGCGATCGGATGTCCGCCGCCGCCTCCGGCGAGGACGAGGCCATGTCGGTCATCCCCGCCACGTCGTCCTCCGGCGGAAGCAATCAGCACGCCTTTGACGCCGGGACGACGACGAGCTCGTGCGAGATCGACGCCACCGCAGGCGGCGGCGGCAGGAGGAAGGTACGGTTCGACAACGACGGCGGCGGCGGCGGCGAGGAGGAGGAGGAGGCGGCGGAGGTGAAGGAGCTGATGGAGGAGAAGGAGGCCGGCGTGTCGTACATGATCGGGCACACGTGCGTGTTCGCGCACGAGTCATCGTCGGCGGTGAAGAAGTTCGCCGTCAACGTGGTGTACGGCTTCCTCCGGCGAAACTCGCGGCGGCCGGCGGTGGTGCTCGGCATCCCGCATACCTCCCTCATCGAGGTCGGCATGGCGTACAGGGTATAGTAGTGTAGTATATATACTCCGTATATACAACTATACGTACATACATACATACATCGCTGAAGAGAGTGTAGCATTTCATAGCCTCACTTAGTGTTGATAACCAAAACTGGCAAGGGGGTAGAATTAGAAGATGAGAAACGGTTTATATTTGGGACCAATATAACCGAGTCATTCTAATAGTCAACTCACAATCAAAGCTAGGTTGACTTGGTTACATCCAAATTAGTTACGGGAGGGGAGGGATGAATTATGAATAGATTAGTTGTGTAGAACACCTGGGCCGTGATTTGCAGATGGGTCGCCCATCAGCCATCCCCTAGGTAAGGGACTCAAAATGAACTTATTCCTCCCCAGAACATCAAACAAATCTTTCTTCCCTCCCTGTGCGTGCAGAATCTTTGGCCCATGACGTGATGCCACTCCCGTCACCGAATTCCACGGTCAAGTCGCTGCCGTTTTTGTCACCACTCCACCCGCAAAATCTCTACGCATCCTCCCGATGATCGATCGCTATCCCCAACAGTCTCACACACACCAATGCTCCAGTGCAGCAGCTGCCACAGTAGCAGTAGCATGGCCTTGCTCTGCTACTATACAACCATACAAGCCATGCTCTGCAATGTTCATCTATCCATCCATGCGATAGATAACATCTAGTATCTATCTGCTCGATGGATGGACACGTGGTGATCACTGCGTAGGGTTTATTTGGGGAGCTTAAGATTCTAAGAAGCAGCTGGTTGGTAACCAGTTTCTGAGAATATGAAAAAAGCTAGGTTTTCCTTGCATCTGGCTTCTAGTTCATTTTCTGGATTCTACAACTACAACTTCTTAGAATCTAGACCAAAAGCTAAACTATTTGGGAAAGCTTCCGATTCTGGGAGAAGCTGCAGCAGCTAGAAGCTCCCCCAAACATACCCGTACAGTGCCATGTGGTGGCACATTGGATGCAACGTGCCATGGCGAAGCGGAGCAGGTGTGAGACTGAAACTATTGTCCGAGAGCGTTCTTGCTCGCCGGTCGGGCCTCGATTGGGCAATCGGACAGCGCGTGCTTCATCTTCAATTGTGGCCTCTCACTTGCTTCCTGCACATGGCATGGCCTAGCTGCAGTAGCAGCATGCAGCATGCAGGAGGCAGCCAGGTCGTCCTCATCAAACTGTTCATCTCCTCCTGCTTCCGTGCTCCGATGCCGCTAAAATCTGCCGGTTTCTGCATTGCTTTTGCACAGGTTTTTCTTCAGTGTTGTTCATCGATCCAGCTCTGTGCCCGGCAGGCAAAATCTTGCCACAATCTCTGCACTTTTGCTGTGTTTCTATACTTTTGCAAAATTTTTGTCTTGGGGATTTGGAGAGGTGTGCAAAATTTTTGTCTTGGGGATTTGGAGAGGTGGCAGTGTAGCAATGTGATGACAATGCATTCATGTCGTGGAGAGGAGTCTGTTGACCTGCTGAATTTTCATAACAAAACTGAGCTGTTGTCTTATTGAAAAACCGGCATGTGTTATATACTACTCGTATTTATAAACTTGTACTCGGAAGAAATTATTAGCACTGTTGCATATAAAAACTCCAGCCTCCAATTCAGTTTCCCGGTGTGATATCCTTTCACATCTGTTCAAACCAGCAAAAATTCAGAATGACCAATCCATCATTACGAAGCATTTAGCATGAGCACCGCCTGCAAGAAGAAAAAAAAACCAAAAAAGAAAATCAAATTTGCAGATTAGGCTGCACATGCCAGTGCAGGCTAATCCATTCACGACGATGATCTACGCCGCCTTTGCTTACTAATTTTTCCTCCTGGACATGTGATTGACACAGATATAAGTTGATTCCTGACACAAATGATTCCAACTTCCATTTCCAAGTAGTAGTAGTAGGAATCAAACAATGTGATAATGCAAGAGTTAGTTGCTTTTAAGCACAAGTTAAGCTGGTGCTCTAAAATCTTCCCAGGTATCATCATCGTCATCAACAACAACATCGTCCCCGTGAGCTCAGCCACAGTGTGGCGCAGTTGTCAGCTGTACTGGCCAAGATTTCTGCACATGGGAGCTGCTACCTCCTGTCAATTGATGATCCATGCTTTGGCCGGCCCACGGATTTCGTTTTTTTTTGTGTGGCAATTTAACATCCTCATATGCTAGATTTTTCTTAGGCCAATATGGTCTCTCTCTCTCTCTCTCTCTCTCTCTCTCTCTCTCTCTCTCTCTCTCTCTCTCTCTCTCTCTTTGAGCAATGAAAAAGATTTGATGGGGATATTTGATGAAAGCTTAACTGATTACTATTAAATTTATAATGATCATTGTGCGTCTTCTTTCTGCTGGAAGGTATTGAAACATTTATAGCTTTCTCTCTCTCTTTTGTTGATGAGTACGCACCAATTTCTGAGATAGTAACAGTGAAGAACAAGCAACAAAATGTGAGTGTGAGCTTAACCAAGTGTGAAAAATTTTCATGTCAATCTCTCTCACAATGGTGGTTGGTGAAAGGCTGAAAGGGGGGCAAATGCGATGATAGTCCACAGTAGCACTATCATCCCTGTCAGTTTTCACTCATTTGTCAACTTGTTTTCGCTGAATTTTGGCAGCTGGAACATTCACATTAAGACGTTGATACCTCGATCAATCAGAGCATAATCATGCCGTACAGAAGACATTCACAGATCAAATACGGGCAAGTAATCTGATCAGCTTATCATCTCGTACGGCAATGCATTCGGACAAAAACGCGTAACTCACGGAACGGATCAAACAAGGTCAGAAATTCCGGCTGCAATTCTCCTCTTTACTCCACTCTGCACCACGATCCAAGAAACTTAGTACAAGTTGGTACCAATCAGTCAATCAAACTGTGTGGTTTGATCTGAAGAAGACAAGCTGACGACGACGATCAGCTTACCACTGTGCCACGCTGCCAGTGCTCTGAATTCAGAAAACACAGCAATCTAACACAGCAAGAATGCTGTGTACTCTGAGAATGGCTGATCTTGGAAATGTGGCACATGAAAATCAACCGAATCAGCAAAAGAATCCAGGGGAGAAATGCAAATGCAAGGACATTGCTGATTAATTCCCTCGGATCTTGGATGAAGCATGGCAAAGTTCATTCAGTTCAACAGATTTTGCATTAGCAAGTTCAACCATTTTTCACATGAGATTAGCCTTGCGGCTTACATGTATCATCGACAACTCATCATATCCCTAGCAAAAAAAACAAGAGTAAATACTGCATTACCACTAGCTAGCTACAGAAGCTAGAGCTTAGATCTAGATGGAAAGAAGCTCAAATGGAGAAGAACACAAAAAAAAAGAAGAGGGAAAAAATAATATCCCCTAATTCCCACCAAACAGCAGGTGCTAAAAAAATTTGAGCTGCAGGAGAAAATGCGGCGAAATCCCCGTCCTACCCCCACCAACCCATTCGGAGGTGGAGTTAACCCTCCCTATGTACACACACCCACACAGGGGTAGGTCAGTAAAATGCCAGCAGCTAAAGCAATTGGGCGCTGCGGCTGCTGCTGCGGATTTACCGTTTCACCCTGGGGCAAATGACAACTATGCCCTCGATGGGTAAAGCGTAAATACCGCGAGCGAGAAGGGCAAAACGGGGAGACGGACGGGGAAGGGGAAGAAGGGGGGGGTCTCTAGTAGTAGACCAGGCCGCCGCCGTCTTCGTCGTCGTCGTCGCCGTCGCCGGCGGCGGCGGCGGAGAGGCGGAGGAGGAGCTGGTGGAAGTCGGCGACGGGGCAGGGGATGCGGAGCGCGCCCGGGTGGCCGTAGCCGTACTCCTGGGCGGCCCGCCGGAGCAGCGCCGCGAACGCCGGCTGGCCGAGGAGGTCCGTCCGCACGGCGTAGCGCTCCACGGGCCCGCCCTCCTCGCCGACGCACACCGGCACGTGCCCCTCCGGGACGCGCGCGCCGCACCCCAGCCGCCTCGCGCCGGCGAGGGAGGAGGAGGAGGACGCGGACAGCTTCGCCGTCCGGTCAGCCCGGAGCGGCTGGTACGCGGCGGCGGCGCAGGCGTCGGCCGCGGCGACGCGGGAGAGGCGCCTGAGGAGACGCTTCATGATGGCTGCTTCACGTCGAGGCTTGGCAATGGCGGCGCCGGCGGCGGAAGCGGAGGCGGCGGAGGTGGTGGGTTCTTGGAGAGGCGGAGGAGGGTACAGTTGAGAGGACGCAAGGTGTTTGTACTGGGGTGGTGGTGGCCATGGCTCCTTCTTATATAACGGAAGATATGGGAGTTATGAGTTGCCAAAGTCTTTTTGTGATTTTTTTTTTGGCTATTCCTTTCCTCCTCTCCTCTCTCTCTCTCTCTCTCTCCGGGCCTTTACAAATTCTTTTGTCCAGAATGGGTTGTAGGATTATTAATTTTGTGCACCTGCTTTGGGGACAACTTCAGATTACCCAATGATGACATATTCTGTTCACCGTTCGTGGGAAATATGTATAACCGCTAGTTACGCACACGTGAAGATTATTGTATATAATTAAATCGCTAACGACTAATAAATATATTTTATTGGATTAGTATCTCTTGAAATCAACCGTTGACTTTATTCTTCACCATTGCTCTAATATCCCTACATCAAGCAATTAAGCAATTAAATATACCTAATGGTTTTTTCAGCAAGAATTTTGTTTCAATAAAAACCTAATCAATTATTTTTTTTAGGTGGTAGAGGATTTATTGGTTTGGCTTTGTAAAAATGCACATAAACCTTGCCCATAACATTGATAGCATATTCAAGCTATCAAGACACATCCAATCTTCAGGTCAAATTGACATATCCAATCTTCTTCCATTTATTTTCTTAAGTAATGAATATAAATCTGACATTTATATTCACAAGTGGATATACACAGCCAAAAGATAAAAAAAATAAAAAATTGGATTGGACTAACTCGATAGTTATGTCATCATGTATCTACTAATGCGTCGTAATCTAGTTGACATTTAAGGTTTTTAACATATGGAGTATATGAGTTGTCTCGAGTATGTCAGATTTGATAGAATTCAAAATTGAAGGGACCGAAAACCAGCACTAGTAGATGCTCATCCTATCCGTTGAAATTTGTAAAGCCTAGCATGTATATGTGTTTCCCACAAATAAAAGAAAAATGCCGATTGATACAAACCTGGGGGACGATGGGCGTGTGAGGTTAGCAAAACATGCAGGGAAAGAACGTGGCTAGGGGGAGGAGGTACAAGTGCGCGTACCGTACGAGTACCCGGAAGGTACAAGCGGCAATAAGCCGGTGAGGTGTGGGCCCGGTCGGGCCGGTGCCTTAACTAGCACCCGGTTTTTCTCCGGCTGGACCCTGACCGACCGGCCAGTCAGGCTCCGGGTCGGGTCGGGTCGGGACCGCTTCGCGTCATCCGTGAGTGAGAACGTGCCAGGCGGCCGCATCCTTCCGTAACACCGGTCGTACGGTGTGCGACGACGAGGAGGTGGGAGAATTGGTGGGGGTCACTGCTGCAGTGGGGCCCACCCTACTGACCTGGCACATGGAAGAGAGAGAGTGAGTGAGTGAGTGAGCACTTGACTTCGTCGACTTCTCCTTTTGGTCGGAAATGCCCACGACCAGTGATGAGTCACCTTGTGAAAACTTTGTTGGACAGTAATAAAATAACAAAAGATACCCTAACCGTAATTTGGATAATCTTTCGTTTGTTGTTCTTATTTTATTTATCTCATTACATGTATGTATATATTATCCCATCGTTTGGCCTAAAGCTAATAGATAAAAATAAGTAATTCTTTATCCCTATAATATTTTTAGCGATTTAAAATCCAACGCTGAAAAGAAATCACGATAAAAAGAAACCCTCAAAACAACACCTAAGTTAAATTTTAACACAATGAAACGTTCCGTTTTTTAATTAACCCACATGCATAAAAGCCGTCGATGATGATCGACTTGTTTCACCTGTGTTTCGGATGCAGTTGAGCACACACTACCAGTTATACCACCAGGCTGAACTAGCTAGTGCCTTTTTTGTATGGACTTTTGTGTGGAGAAATCATGAATGGAGGCCACCGTCGTCTGTACGTAGTGCACGCGTGAAAACTAAACACAGCCTAGCGCCAGTGTTAACCCATCATCACACGCTTACACGCGTGGAGTGCATGCGTAGGACGTGCCCAATTAATTAATTAACCTAATTATACATAGTATCAAGTATATATAAAACAGCATATTCCCTATAGCTAGTATCTGTTCACCGTCTCACCGAAGATATATGTGCTAGCTATATAGCTTCACTAGGGCACTATACCAAACCCGGCCACACAGGACATGAAGTTTGCACGGTGAACGATTGATATACTATCTCATCCCCTAAATGTTTGACGCTATTGACTTTTTTAAACATGTTTGACCGTTCGTCTTATTCAAAAACTTTTGTGAAATATGTAAAACTATATGTATATATAAAAGTATATTTAACAATAAATCAAATGGTAGTAAAAGAATTAATAATTACTTAAATTTTTTGAATAAAATGAACGGTCAAACATATTTAAAAAAGTCAACGGTGTCAAACATTTTGGGATGGAGGGAGTACAACCATATACTCCCTCCATTTATAAGTATTTGACGTCGTTGACTTTTTTAAACATGTTTGATTATTCGTCTTATTAAAAAAATATATAATTATTAATTCTTTTTCTATCATTTGATTCATTGTAAAATATACTTTCATGTATACTACATATAGCTTTACATATTTCACAAAAAAATTTTAATAAAATGAACGGTCAAACATGTGCTTAAAAAGTCAACGGTGTCAAACATTTAGAAACGGAGGGAGTATATAATTAAGCGGCATTTGCACACACTTCGCACGAAATACTAGTGCACAAGATATAGTTCATGAGGCCATTCCTAACCCAAGACACTAGACATAGTTTCCATAAACTCCACATAATCAAGAAACTAGTACTAGACACCACTCTTTCAATGCCAAATTTTTTATTCATAGTAATTAATGATCCTTAAATTAAATAAACAGTAAATCTCAGATTAAATTTGTGAAAATAGGATGGACGTTGTTCCCAATAGCGTCCAAGACTTGGACACACTTTCGAAGAGCGTCCAAAGGTGGACGCTGTTCTGGGCGGCGTCCAACCTGCTGCACCTCATCCTGCTCGGTTTGGATGCTCTTCGGTGCTCTCCCCAACCATTTGCCACGGCACGCGAAGAAACGCCATCACCGGCTTCCCTCTCCTCGGGCCCAATGTTTGGATTGGTGATCGATCTTGATAAATTTGTTTGCAGGTTGGAAAAACCGGCCGCTAATGATGTGTTATGGATGCCTTGGTCATTCAATATATCAAAACTATCCGAAAACTAGACATTGCTGTTTATTTTGCTTTATTCTGTAAAATTATTTGTGTGCTCAACATTTGTACTTACAGTGCTCTACTTTCAAATATTAGTGAATTCCATTCATACCACTACCTAGTTAATTGTCACAATCTGCTAAAAAATACTGCTGCAACATTTGACTAGATTGAAAGGATATCGCTTCATTTTTTATGTGGTCAGAACTTATTGTATTCTGATATGTGGTGGTATCATTTGAATATTTTTTTGAATCGTCTGAGCCAACGCAATTGCTGAACCCGTAGCATATATGTATTCTTCTGTGCAGCCTTCTAGACGCTAATAGGAGTAACAAGCTAGAGCAAATGACTGCATCACATTGACAAAATTGATAACGTGTACAGTCTGTTAGAGAAAGGGATGAAGGCAAAGCTATTTGCACTTCAATAGCTAAATACAGGGGCGCAGAAAATAATTAAGGACGCAAAACGTCAATCGCCGATCTTTTTTTTTCGGTGATAGATGAATGGAGAGGAAACTCACTGACTTCTAGTAGCCAGCAGCGTAGACTTCGGCACCCAGAGACCCTAAATGCGCGATCCATTCTGGCTGGACACATGACGCGTGCGAACCAGGTTATGGACGTTGTTACAAGCAACGTCCCGACCTGGACGCACATAGCTACAGCGTCCAATCCTGGACGTTAGAGTCAAGAGCGTCCTTCCTATATAGGTAAATCCCATCCCATAATTACTAAATATTTAATTTAGGCATAACTAATTATCACAAATAAAAAAATCGGCTTCCAATGCAAACACCACTATTTCATACTTAACTTTAATGCTACTTATCTCACATGGTGTCTTGATGTTGTGTAGAAACCATGTCCATGCAAGACATGGTTTCCTTCTCTTTTCTCATTTATTCACTTGCCATATCATTTTTCATTCTAGGTGGCAGCTTATTTAATGCTATAGATCGACATCATAATAGTCATTGGGTTGGGAATGGCCTGATGCACATATGCATGTTTCTCGATCGATGGAACATTTATACTGCAAAGGCGAAATCGATGCATGCAAATCAGCAAAAAATGTCATCGGAGTATCAAGTAGAGTGGCGAATGGTAATCATATTCTCCACGTTTTGGAGGCCTTCTCTTTTTCTACAAATGGGCAGGCATTGTGTTTGGGGGCATATCACTAGATTCGAGCTATGCCAATTGGACTACGCATATGTGTGTCGTGAATGCATACAGGAGATTAATTGCTGATTGACATGTGGTCGATCGAAGAGACTAATTAACGAAGAAGATTTGCATTGCCATGTGGTGTGACTATGAGACGTACACACACTCTCTCTCAACTTTTGTGAGAACGAAACGGGATGGTTTATTTTCCTTAGTTTTGACTCATTTGGCGGCGGCAGGTCGATCGTACGGCCATTGCATAGCATTGGCACGTTTTCTTCTTGGATTCCTCTTGTTTGCCGGTTTGGATTAATTGATTAGGTTTGGCAGAGAGTGAGAGAGAGGGGTAAGCTAGCTTAGCTTAGGGCACCCATAATGGTTATCTATACGCTCTCTACAAAATATCTATGTCAGCATATTTTTCTATTTGGAAGGTATTAAATGAAGAGAGAGAGCAAAACTATCTACTAACTTAGAGATAGTCTATAGAGAAAAACGAGGCAATGTATGAGAGAGCTATAGATACCACCTAGGCCCCACTGCTGGAAAGGCTCGGCTTCAAAACCCTGTAGACATACTATTAAGGTGATTTACTATTAATCGAGTTTATTGCTGAGATATACATGTTATATAGAGAGTACCTTACTTTACCATTGCGGGTGCTCTTAG